GCAGCAATAACCTCTTTAGCTGAAAGGTAGTGAGAATCTGACTAGGGTGCCTGCGCTGGCTGGGCCCTCGGGCAAGTTGATATTTCTGTAGAGAGAAGGGAGCAGAGCCTGGAGAAGCAGGGAATACCAGAAAGACAGAGTGCGGGGTTGCCTGTCACCCCCTGGCATTTCCATGTGTAGTGTGTCCCCACAGGCAGTGAGACATGAACACTGACTGACATGAACACATTGGCACTCAGACACACACACACACGCACACACACACACACACAGGCTCCACATTACACAGAACAGAACCAAAGCCTGCCTCCTGAAATATGAGAGCCCAGAAAATCAACCTGGCATAAACGTTTTCAAACTATTTTCGTGGGAGTTGTTCTGCAGAAGTAAGTCACACAAATAATGAAGCAATTTTCCACCAAAAGGAAGATTTTAACTGCTAGAGATAATTGTAGAAAAGTACACTGAAATTATGAGGTGCCATTTCTCTCTATCAGATTGGCAAAGATTTAAAAGTTTGATCATACTGAGTGTTGGTAGGGATGTAAGATAGGCTATTTGGCAGAATAAGTAAATGATCACAACTTCTGGGGAAGGTAATGGAACATATGACAAAATATTAAACCCAGTGACTCCACTTATAAAATTCTATATAGCTCCACACAAAAATACTGATTAAAGTTCACTGAAGCATTTGTTTAAAATACCATAAAACTTGGTGCCTCCCTGTTGGTGCAATAGGTTGAGCATAGCGCAGTACGAGTTCAATCCCTGGCCCATCAGGGAGCAACCCACATGGCGCAGCAGACCCCTCCTGACTCACCCACTGCTCCCCTCAACAGTGTACTTCAGTATATCTGCCAGTTCTGTTCCCCGCTTTGTATCTAGTGAATCCTCTCACCTCTCACACCTCTGGCCTATACCCCAGTTCTTGTATGCATAAATGAATAAATCTTTTTTTAAAAAAATGCCATAAAACTGGAAACAAGTAAAAAATATCCATTAATAGAAAATTAGCCAAGCAAGTTAAGGGCATCAATGCAATGAAGTATTATTCAGTCATTTTAATCGACAAGGTGGACGTCTATGTTCTCACATGGAGCGATGTCCACGCAAGTTTTAGCTGAAAATGTAAAGTATCAGGAGCAAAACAGTCTTTACCACATTTGTGATTCTAAGTGTGTATGTCTCCATATAGACGGTTTCTACAAGGTGTGAAAGAAACTAGCTTTGGAACAGAAATGGCAGAGGGAGAAAGGAGGGAAAAAAGAGAAGGGAGACTAAATTTTCACTTACTAATCTTATGTATTGATAGTTTTACAATGAGTATGGATTAACTGCAGAAGAATTTAACTGAATTAAAAATATATATATTAAGGTTTCCTGTAAGATTTCACTTAAAAGAGTTCCATCACTAAAAATTTTTAAACTCCAACCTTATGAAACCCAACCCTATTGTTCAAATGACCAAAAAGGAAACTGTAACTGTTGAAATGGAGATAAGCATTATTACTCTATGGAATTCTGTGATTCTATCCACCTCCACTTTATCTAATTCTATAGTGGTCTCCATCTTTCATTGTCTTTGAGCCTGTAAGTTGTAGACAACTAAAAATTATACAAACGATTGCTCTCCAAAGCAGTGCAAATGACTTTGCCAGATGGAGGTGCAACTGATTTCCCCCCACACTATGAGAGAAGCCAATTTTGTATCAATGAACAAATTCCTTTCATTATTCCTGGTTGCCAAAATGCATATCTGGCCTATGCACTGTCCTTTGAACCAGTTTTTAACACATCACTGTTTTCCTCATTAATTAATGAGTTAAGTAAAATCTTTGACACGTGTTCCTCTTACACTTTTATGAGTCATGATTTTTCCTTTAGAAAAATTATCTTTTAACAGAGTGGAGACAATGAAGTCTGGTTGACAAAGAGATTACTCAAGGTTAGGTGCCCATTGCAAATACAGTACCAACCCGATCCTCAAAATTCTTGGCTATTTTATCTGTAATGCACCAAGTATCAAGGATTGAAATCCTTTACAATATGATTTGAATACTTACTTCATGCCTACATACGGTTAATTTAGAGATGCTTTCTTACAAAGATACACTCATAAATGCACGAAGGCCTTGCTGACATGCTGGGTAAACTCCCACACAGTTGCAGGACGCCACTCTCCCGGCTTCCACACCTCCTCTTCTATTGCCCCTCCCTACCCCACAACCCTCCTCCCGCACCCCCACGGTTGCTCTTCCAGCATCTGGGGGCTAAAAGGTTGGGGATGCATCAAGGTGCCTTCCAGCGCCCCCCTCGCTTATGCCTTGCAGAGAGAAGAGGTGGCTCTCGCTTACACCCACTCAGCGCCAGGCAAAGTGGCCCTGGGTTGCAGCAATAAGGGGCTTAGTCGGGGAGGGAGGCAAAGCCGGCGCGTCCTCAGAGGCAACCGGGTATAGGAAGGGAGTTTTCAGAACAAGGCACGGCCTAGTGCAACCTGTCCATGAGTCGAAGTAAAGAGCTGTAAGGCTCCCCGGAGGCGGAGACCTCGGCTCTGAAGTTGGAAAATCCGGAAACAAGGCTCTGAAGCCCAGGAAGGCGCGGAGGGAGGGGAACACCAGGCCTCGGACGCGGCCAGTTAAGCTAATGGCGTATTTGTTGCAAGGGGAAAGCAATCCCACAGCGTGGAGACCCAGCACCCGGCCTGGAACCTCCGCCCGCCCCCCGAGTCTGCAGACCCACGGCCCCAAGACTCCTCCCAGGGTGCCCCTGCGGACCCCTCTGTGCCGCAGCGGCTCTGGCGGTGGGCTCGCGGCGCCCCCTGCGGGCCCCTAACCACTCCCGGGGCTTGCTAGCCCGCGCGGCGGCTGTGGCGGGCTGGGGAGGCCCCTGGCTGCCTGCCAAGCGGTAGGTCCTCGGTCCCCTCCAGGCGTCGGGTCGCTCCCGCAGGCGGAGCTCAGCTCCGTGCACCCCAGAACGCGGTGTCCACAGTCTCCATCACTATGGGATCTCAGTCCCAATATGCAGATGAGAAAACCGAGGCTCAAAGACAGAACCTGATACATCCACGGACTTTTAGGGGAGCCTCTGGGACCCTAAGACCAGTTCTTACCCGCGCTGGTCTCTTTCCCCCTGGAGACCCCTTCTTTTGCCCAGGAGCATTTAGGTGTGGCCACAGTCTCCAGGATTTGCCATGCTCCCTACAGCGTCCTCTTTCCTGAGTTTCTCAGCGCCAAGTCTCCTGGAGCCGGCTGGCTGGAGGGGCTGCGGTGTGGACAGGCGTGTACCACTGCTCCTATTTACTACCTAAGGCGCAGGTCCATCAACTTTGCTAGAGGAAAATCTGACAACAGCATTGGAAGTGCCCTTGAACACTTGTTTCACTCTATCCTAAGACAAGAAACTCAGCAAAGATTCTGCTCTGAGACGGTTATCCTTCATTGTTTGTAATAGCCAAAACTTGTGAACTGTCTAACACTGCGGGTAGGTTAAAGAAATGGTAGCCTATGATACCATGAAAAATCATGTTGGAAAAAAATTTAGTGAAATATCAAAAATTTCATTATATTTTTCCATGTGTGCACATCCCAAAGTAAGAGTCTGCCCAGATCTACACCAAAAAATGAATATTAACAAGAGAATTAAGAGCTTCTTTAAGGGTATTTGTACCTTTCTATGTTTTCTAAATGATGTGCTGGTTATCCATTGTTTTTGTTTTTTGTTTTTTATTGTTGGTTTTGTTTGTTTGTTTGTGTTTTTTGTTTTGTTTTGTTTTGTTTTTTGAGCAGATAAGGACCAGTGTCTACTGGTCGCATCCCAAGAAGACAGCAACCTAAAAAGCTGGATCAAGGAAATAGGAAAGGGGGTTGGTGAGGCATTTCCTTTCACCAATCCTTGGACAACCACAAGAATCTTGGTCACCAAAAAGCTACTCCTTCTGAAGAATATGACAATGGCAATAAATTTGACCCAATGGGTTGATCATTCAGTTGGTCATCAATCAGGAATTCTGGAAGAGAAATTGCAACTTGGTACCTTCTCAAGTTGTGATGGGCAGTATATCAACCCACATGCTAGATTTTTGTTCCAGAAAGTAGACCAGCGTGCACCATGTGGTTTCTTTGTTGTATTGGTTCCATGCAAATTGTCTGGAGCATACAGATCAACCCCTGAAATCCACACTCCAGTGAAGAGGTAGTGGATTTATCTGCTCCACCAGGAAGGGGTCTACAGCACTAATCTGTGCACGGTCCACATGGGAAGCCATCATATTGTATGAAGCCATCATGTTGATGGATTCAGCTGTGACTGGTGACTGGTGACAGCAGGTTGGCAGAAAGGAGCAAATGCTCCAGCTTCCCCTGGGCGAGGAGACAACACTGAAAACTGTTAAGTTTTTGCCTTCAAAACCTGGCAAAGTGAAATTTGCTGAAAAGTAAGCAGTGCAGTCTGTTTTTAATTTCACTTCTTAAGAAAACCCAGCTAACTTTCATCGTGACTTTTTAGGCTTGTATCTTTTTGGAAATTTTTTGGTAGTATAACCTTAAGTAAAGATATTTAGGTTTTTGGTGTGTAAACAAAATATTATTTGTTAGAATATTTTTCCAGTGAAGTAGTATCCAATTTTTGTTTAAAAAGTTATTCTCTATTGTTCAAAAAGTAAATTGTGCCAGAAACTAAGAAAAACATGTATTATTATAGTTTCAACATCAGGACTGACTTGTATAAAGAAATCTGTTTGCAATAAACTGTAATGAACTGTAATATCCCTTTAAAGAAAGATTTAAAAATTGCTAGAAGTATTAATTATTAAAAACCATACATGAATGGGGATGGGGAAAATGAATTGCTTGCTCTTTCTGGGAAGAAAGGCCTTGCTGCTGCTGTTAAGGGCCACTTGGGGTGTACCCACCTCTGGCCTGGCCATTATAGTCTGAGTCTGTGGTATAAAGACTGGTCATTACCATAGAAGGAGATAGATGAAACCATCTTCAGTCTGCCCTAATTTTTTTTTTTTTTATTTAAAGAAAGCATGGCGTGTCTTTAGAAATCAGAGATTTGAATTTCAGCACCAAACATCCCTACCACCACTAACAGAAACTGTGGTTTTCGGCAAGTCACTTAATCCTTCCCAGTCCAGTTCCCCATCTGTAAAGCAGAGAGAACAATATCCATATTATGTGGTTGCTGGAAGATTCATTATTTTTATTAGTCAGCAATTATTTAAGTGCCAGGCACTGATTGGAACAGACTGTCCTTGTTCACATGGAATTCATACTCCAATAGGGTGAAATGACAATAAACAAACAAATAAGAAGATGAGAAAAATCAGATATTAATATATTCTAGGCAGAAAATAAAAGAGGGAGAATTGGTGGAGCCTACAGGCTTATTATATTATATCAGTTGGTCAGGGACATATTGTATTTGAGCAGAGATATGAATGACAGAAAGCAGGCAGGCATGCAAAGCTCAAGGGGAGAAATCAGGTAAAGTATGCAGGGGATCTCTCTGTACCATTTTTTGCAACTTCCTGTGAATCTAGAACTATTTTAAAAGTAAAGGTTTTTTTAAAAGTCACTAATCATTGCTACACACTACAATCTAGATGAATCTCAAAGTAAGTGTACTGAGTGAAAGAAGTCAGATCACAAGGCATATGCACAGTACAACTTAATTTATATACAATTCTGGAAAGTACAAACTGATCTATAGTGACAGGAAGTAGATCAAGGATTCCCACCTTAGAGTAAGGAGGGGAATGTTTGAGCAGGAAGGGTGGATGGCAAAGATTACAAAGGGATATGAGGAATCTTTCAGGGGTGATGGATATGTTTATTACTTTGTGTTGTATATGCACAAATATGTTGCGTAATTATAATTCTATCACATTGTTAAATTTTATTATTAAATGTGTTAAACTTATCAAATTGTATCCTTTACATAGTATGCAGTTTATTGTATGTTGATTTTACATCAATGAATTTATTACAAATTTGAAGTGCCTAGAAATAAAGCATTCTGAAGTTGTACAAAGCCTCTATCTATAAAAGCTTAATATGTTATTGCCAGACATTTAGGTAATATAAATAAACAAAGGGATATACCAAAGTCCTAGCTTGGACAACTAAATATTATAAAGATTTCAATGAGTCCCAAAAGGAAACCCCAAAATTCTGATTGGGTTTTTTTTGACAAGTTTATTTGAAAATGTATATGGGATAATCAAAGGCCAAGGAGAACCAAGACACTCTTGAAAAATAAGGTAAAAGAATTGATATTATCAGATATCAAGATAGTGCGGTTCTGATAGGGGGATAAACAAAATAAAGAGCCCATAACAGATTCACATACAGACACTTGACATTAGACAGAGGTGGGAATAAAGTCATTGAGAAATGGCCAAAGAAAAGGCATTGGGGGCCTCCCTGGTGGCACAAGGGGTTAAGCGTCAGCACTATGAAACTGTAAGTAACATCTCAGCATGAATTAGATCCCCAGCCAGGGAAGTGACCTCTCCTGTCTCACCTACTGCTCCCCACAATAGTGTATTTCAATCAGTCTGCCTGTTCTGGTCCCCACTCTGTCTCTGGTGAATTCTCTTACCCCCTGCACCTCTGACCTGTACCCCAGTTCTTGTATGCATAAATAAATAAATCTTTTTAGAAAGAAAGAAAGAGAGAAAGACAGAGAAAGAAAGAAAGAAGAAGAAAGAAAGAAGAAAGAAAGAAAGAAGAAGAAAGAAAGAAGAAGAAAAGAAAGAAAAGAAAGAAAGAAAGAAAGAAAGAAAGAAAGAAAGAAAGAAAGAAAGAGAGAGAAGGCATTGGGTTCAGTGGTTATCTATAAGGATTCCTTCCACCATTCACAGAAAACAATTTCAAGATGGACTAAACACCTAGACATGAAATGCAAAACTATATAGCTCTGAGAAGGTAGAACAGGACACTACCTTCATGCCCCAGAAAGATTTTTGGGGAGACACATAATAAAAAGCATTAATAATAAAAGAAAAGGCATCAATAAAAAGGAACAAACTATGAACTACATTCAAATTTGTCCCTACAGATATTATAGAGAAAATGAAAAGACAAATGATGGATGGAAGACAAGATATTTGCAACTAACCGTCAAAACCATGATGAGACACCACTACACATCCCACAGAATGGCAAGATTTTTACGAATGTGTGGGAGTCTCTGTGAAGCAACAGGAACACTCATGCTGCCTGTGGGGGGCATGCTGACATGCCACTCTGGTAGCTGACATTATCTAGTTAATGACATTATCTAGTTAACTTGAGGATAGGTGTAGCATGCAACCCAGACATTTCACTTAGTTACACTCTCTGTGCACATCTACTAGCAGTGTGTACATAATAATATTGTACATAACAGCAAAAAAAACTGAGAAAATTCCAAATGCTCTATTTATAGTAAAATGAATAAATTTTAGCATTTTCATTTAGTGGAATATTACATAGGTGAGGAGCAGCAAAAAGCAGTGCACAGTGATCTATGCACAAGTGTCTGTCCCCTTTATAGTGTGAGACAGACAAGCAGAGCAGAGAAGAAAATTAAATATAGTTCTCAGAGCCAACTTGAGAGCCATAGTGATGGCAGAATGTGTTTTGGCTTGTGTCAACATGTTGCAGACACAGTACAAGTTTCTTTAAAGGTAACTTTACCTCCCACAACTATGAAGTAGAGTAGGAATTATTTGGTAGATAAGGAAACTGAAGGTCAGAAAGATTAAATGACTGCTTGAGTTACACAGTGAATGGCAGAAGTAGATTTAAAACTAGCCATCAAATTCCACATTCCTTCCATTAAAATAGATACTATTGATCATCTTGCAACAACCATTCACCACCTCTCCTTCCTTACAGAACCCCAGTTTTGTTATGTCATACCCCTTCCTCTGTGCTGTCACCCTAGGCATGGCAGAGTAATGGATGGATGGATGGATGGATGGATGGATGGATGGATGGATGGATGGATGGACAAATGGATGGACAGTTAGGTGAATAAGTAAATGAATGATCAAGACTACACCCCTGCCAGCTTCTAGAACAGCACAGCCTGCAATCCCAATTGGACATTTTTGCTTCTGCTTATTTTATTTTTTCCTTTATTTTAGTTTGGAAAACAACTCTTAGACTATGTGGATCTAGAACAGCTAGGGTTCTTGAATCAAGAGAAAAATGCAGTTGGACAGCGAATTTTACATTTCCTTCCAAATGTACATTGCAAATATTCCAGATGACAAAGTTTTCAGGATCTAAAACAGAACCGGTTTACACAACCTGCAGGAAGCAGGAGGGTGCGTGAGTGCACAAAGCCTCCACAGGCAGTGTGACAGCCGTGTTCCAGGAAGCTGGAGCATCCAGGAGAGAGCACTGTGGCCAGGCCCATGATTCACCCTGCCCCCTACTCATTTGCCCAGTGAAGCTCACAGGTGTTGTCAGACAGAAGCTAAACAGTTCTCCCTCCTACTTCCCATGCTCAGCACTTTCACCCGGTCTAAAGTATAAATCCAGGGCCATCCCATAAGTTAAGAGGTCTCTGCCCCCAAACTGTGCAGGAAGTTCTATTACTGTCAAGGAACTATCATGTTCTCACTGCTGCTGCTGACATTCTTGTCACCTGCCTCCTGTGCTTTTAACACCCTGCTGCTCCCCATTTGACAACCCATCCTTCTAACTCTTCTAGAGCCCTCCTAAAAGCAGACTAGGAAGGAGGATGTCTGCCCAGGCTGTAACTTCAGACACAAAACTTTCTCTTTCAATATCCTAGGATTCTTTTTTCCTACTCTTGTGTCTCCTTGAACTTGTTGATAACCTTCAAAGCTGTGCTCTGCCTCTGGCCTTTGAGTGTAGCCTAACACTGTTCTTTGAGTGTGGCTTGTGGTTGGCTGTGTCCCTGCCATCAGCAAAGGCCTCAATACAGTGAGTGCTTCAGAGGGCAACTTGGATGAAACCCGAAGGCCTGGAGCTGGGGGAAAAGTGGGTTAGCCCAACTTTCATTAAGGACCAATTGGTCCCACTTTAGTTTCTGTTCCAACATGGGAATAAACTTTTCTTAAAACCCTTCAGATCATGTGGGTGTTGACTAGTATTTGTGTCAAAGCCAAGACCTTAGGCTAACTTGGGACCTGACAGGACTCTGCTAATTCCTTGTGTAAATATGGGATCTGCTCCTTGGCTGTCTAAATCAGGGGCTTGGGTGGGGGACACCTGGAGCCTCCACTTGCCTCTGAAGTTTCTGGAACTGAATTGCTTCTCTCCCCCCCACCTCCTGCACTCCCCCCGGCCCCTCCACCCCAGTCTAAGAAGGGAGAACCAATAGCAAAGGCTATGTCTGGAAGCAATTGCACGGAGGTGGGAGGGGGGCACCTTTTGGCATGCCCAGCTCTTTCTCTCTGTTCAGTGGAGGCAATAGAGCCACAGTTGCCCATTCAGGGCTGTTTTGTATAATTGCTCCCAGAAATCCAACAATTGGCTTGCAAAGCATTCCAGATTCTAAACAGATAGATGGTCATAATCTGCAATGACTAATTTTTTTTTAAAGATTAATTTATTTATTTATACAAGCACCGGGTATAGTCAGAAGTGCGGGAGGGTGAGAGAATTCACCAGAGCCAGAGCAGGGAGCAGAACAGGCAGACTGACAAAATACACTGCTGAGGGGAGCAGCGGGCGCTGCAGGAGAGGTCTGCATGCCATGAGGGACTCTCGCCGGTGGCTGGGGATCAAACTGGTGCTGCAGAGGCTGCGGGCAGCTTTGCAGCCCAGTGCTCAACCACTGCGCCACCAGGGAGGCTCCCAATGACTAATTTTTTTTAAGGAAATATTTCACAAGGGTCTGTAGTACCAAGAGGGCTGAATGTCTGCCTCTGAGCCCCTGTTGAGGACTGAGAAGCAATTAAGGCACTAGGACTATGTGTGACTGGAAGCCACCTGAGGTACCACCATGACTGGAAACTGTCTCTGAGTTCTTCCCTTCCTGCTGTTCCTGCCTCTTTAGTTCTCTGCTGGAACTGAGATTGGCTCTGGGTTTCTTGTCCAGCACAGCTATCACCCACAAGGCAACCCACTCTAAGTAACCAAGCAGCATGAGCCCCAGAGCAGCCTCCTTAAGGACCAGACAGGATCATGCTTGCTACTGTAGCCATAATTGGCAGCCCCCATTGGGACTTTTACACCAGAAATAAACATCCATTGTTTAAGTTGCTATTGTTTTACCTCTATGGCCAAATCAAAAGTTCTAGTATGATATATTTGAAAGTTGCTAAGAGCATAGATTTTCAAAGTTCTCATGACAAGGAAAAATGTGTAACTATGTGAGGTGAGGAGTGTTAATGAAGTTTGTGTTAATCACTGTATATACATATCAAATCATTATATTGTACATCATAAACTTCTATGTTATATGTCAATTATATCTCAATAAAACTAGGGTGGAGGAGGCACTCTGGCAAGCCTAGAAAGAGCAGAAGAATTAGGTGTAAAAGTACTGACAGTTCAGCAGCTCTCCTGGGATCTGGAAGGCCCTACATGACTTTTCTCTCCACATCCCTGCTCTCTAGGCCTGTCTGCTCCGTGGGCTTCCCACAGCTCAGCTTCCTCTGCTGCCCCAAAACTTCACTTTGGAAATATATTTAACTGGCCCAATCTGACCTTCATCCTATGAGCTAGCACAACCAAAACCAACTAGCTAGGAACTCTTGACTATTATGGGAATTCTCAGTAGACAGAAGTGGTCTTTGGCCAGTCAGATTTGCTGCTTTTGAGTTAGGTGCTGCTTCCGTCCCCTCTGGGGTGATAGGAAAACTTACCCACTGGGGTCCAAGAAAAGAGCATTTCTCTGGGTACTCCCTATACTGACATGTCTCCCTCAAGGGGTAAGAAGGAACAGCAACTCTGTGACGACAGCTTCATGGCTCCACACAGATCTCAACAGCTCCTTGTTTCTTTAACAGAGCAGCCCAAATCTCTTCCTCTGTGAACATTCCTTTGAAGAGAATAGTATGGTCAGGTAGTTTGGGTAAGCCAGGGGAGGGTAGATGACTGGGATGGGGAAGTACTGGTGAGGTGTGAGTGGAAGGAATGAAGCTGAATTAATACCTTAGATCAAAGCTAAGGAAATAAGGTTTCCCTGCCAAATCCAAAGGTCAGTGGCAGGGTGGAAAATCGAACACAGAGCCAAGGTCAGAAGCCAGTAGAACTGGAAAAATGGAAGCAGTCCAGGGAACAAGATTAGGCTGGGCATGGTGGCAGCTAAGAGCTGGAAGCAAGCTTAGCTTCCCTGGCCCGCAACCTAGGCTCACACATAAAAGGGTCACTATATGGAAAACAGGACCTGCGTGGGTTTAAACCTTACCATCAAGGGAGACTAGGAGAAACCAGGGTTTCTTCACTCAGGTTCATAAACTCCCTATACTGTACAGACTGTGTATATTTGTGCAATTTTCTGCGCTTGTTAAAGGGCACACCTCCCCTTCCCCAAGGGCTATCTTTAGGCTTGAATCTCATCCAGCGAGGACGATCACTGCAGGCTTCCTCAGTCTCAGCCTAAGTCCTGGGCAGCTGAAGGTCTCTGTTATAGAGCAGCCCCGATATTAAACGGGTTCCTGGCTGTGGGTCCTCACCCGCGCGCTTTAAAGGGACTTATGAATACTCTACTACAGACACACAAACATCTCCACCACCCTCCAAAGGGCTGAACCCCTCTGGCCCGCTCGCTTCAAGAGCTCGCTGCAGCGCTGCTGGCCTCTGAGCGGATCCCTCGGGGAACGCCGACCTGTGGGTCTCAAAAAGGATGAGTTTAATAAACGACAGAGGATGGACACGCAGGAGGAGGGTCGGATTAAAAGAAGGGGCGTGTGATTCGTGCCCCTCCGAGGACCTGCCAGCGCAGCTCACACGGGGACACCTACCGCTCAAGCAGCAACGTGAGGTTTGTCCGCTGCTTCATAAACCGTCCGTTTCGTCTCACGGACAAAGCAAACATATCTTCGCCCTCTATTTTCGGGTACGGTTGGGGTCCCTGGACCGGATGCAGCTCCCAGGCGGGCACTACGGCCTTTGTGCCACGTCCTTCAGGGCGGAGGAACCGCGCCCCCAAGCGCCAGGATTTGGGCGCCGGCAGAGGGCGTCGGCAGAGGGCGCCCTAGCCCGTCCACCGCTGTCGCCCCGCCCCCGAGGGGAGGGTCCAGGGCGCGCGGGCGTGACGTCTCCGCACGGGTGGCGACGTCGGCGCGCCGAGCCCGGAAGTGCGGTAGCTGAGGAGGGAGCTGAACGGCGCTGCTGAGGCGCCTCGGTCCCCATGGCGCTGTGGCGCGGCTCCGCGTACGCGGGCTTTCTGGCGCTGGCCGTTGGCTGCGTCTTCTTGCTGGAGCCGCAGTTGCCGGGTTCGGCGCTTCGTTCTCTGTGGAGTTCGCTACAGCTGGGGCCCGTGCCCCCGGGACCTGGCTCCCCCGAGAGCCGGTTGGCGGCCGCCTGGGATGCGCTTATCGTGCGGCCAGCCCGGCGCTGGCGCCGCGTGGCTGTGGGGTGAGTGTCTGTGGGGCCTGCGCCTCGGCCATTTCGAGGGCCACCTTGGCGGAGGTCGAGAGGGTTGGGAGCAGCGAGGTAGAGTCCGCGCGGAAACCCGGGTCTCCAGAGGTCCCTAGAGGCCCCTGGTGTCCACGCTCTTTTTGGCGAGACGCGTCAGACGCCTGGGATGAATCCCGTGGGTCTCGGCTTTAGGACTCCCAGACTGCTTTTTCCGCTAAAGTAGCGGCTCTGCTGTTCTCTCAACTCGGCGGAAATCCCGCTCAGTCTGACACCTTCGTTTCGAGCCTCCTTTCCAGTTTCAGCTCCTCCCACTCCTGTGGTAACTGCCCTTCTGCAAAGACCACTCTGCTTCCTCCTACGTCTGAACTTCTTGAAGGAAGGTTCTAGCCTTTAGCTACCGAATTTTATTTCTTCACGCCTCGTTTCTCCTTCCTTAATGTCATAATTTGAAGACCCCCCACTAGACAAACTCCTCGAAGTTCACCGCGGACTTGTGTGTGTGGGGGGAGGGGTGTTAATGAGGTATAATCGACAAAACGTTGTATTAGTTTCAGCTGTGTGATATGTTCCTTTCTCAAATCCTGCTGCTACCCCTCCCAACTTCATTATGAACTCTGCAGTCTTCTTTTTTTTTTTTTTTTTTTTTTTTTTACAGATTTATTTATTTATTTATACAAGCACTGGGTACAGTCGGAAGCACGTGAGGGTGAGAGAATTCACCAGAGCCAGAGCAGAGAGCAGAGCAGGTAGAAGGACCAAAGTACACTGCTGAGGGGAGCAGCGGGCGGCAGGAGAGGTTTGGCGCCATATGGGACCCTCACCCGGTGGCCGGGGATTGAACTGGCGCTGCAGAGACTGCAGGCAGCTTCGCAACCCAGCACTCAACCACTGCGCCACCGGGGAGGCACTCTGCAGTCTTCTTTGCGTTAAACACGCCCTTCTACTTACAAGCCTTTTCTTTTCCTGACTCAGTGACATTGCATATTTAAGGTTCTCCCAAATCACAGTACCTCTTTTTTGTATTCCTCGCTGGGAATGTAATTATTCCCTTTAGTCTAATTGTAGTCCCTTACTCAGTTCGACCTACTGCCTTGCCATCACAGGCACCAAACAAAAGCAGGCCTTCTACCAAGAACTCTAATAGTTTTGAGTGTTGTGGTCAGGAAGAGTCAGGTGGAATAAAGTTATCCTGAAGAGTAAATGAAATAACCCATGTCATCTAGCGTGGTGTCTGCTTTAAAGAGCACTCAAATGTTAGGTAGTACTTTTTTATCAGTTAACATTGTTTCTTCTGAGGTATGTCTCCTTTTTTTTATTATTATTTTCAAGCTCAGGCCTTTCACCACTTAGCAACTTCTTAATTGTCCTCCCTGGTATTTTGCACACTCAGTCAACAAGTATTCATCAAGGACATGGTATATGTCAAGTCTGCACTGTTCTGAGGACACCAAAATGGGTGAGGCAACCTTCCTACCTCATTTGTTGAAAACATATGTTTTCATTTGTATATTCATCTGCTTGGGGTCCATAATAGAATACCACAGAATGGGTTCTTAGACAACAAATTTATTTTCTCACAGTTCTCAAGGCTGATAGGACAAGATCAAGGTGCCGGCAGGATTGGTCTCTAAGAGTCCTCTCTTCCTGACTTGCATACAGCTGCTTTCTATCTGTGGCCTTGCATGGCCTTTGTGCATGCACACTCCTGGCCGCTCCTCCTCTCATATGGACACTAATTCTATTGGCTTATGCCCTCATTTAACCACAGTTATCTCCTAAAATAGTCTCCAAATACAGCCACATTTGGGGTAAGGCTTCACATTGCTATATCACAAATCACACCAAAATTTAGTAGCTTGAAATAACGATCATTTTATTATCCTGTCGTGATTCTGAGGGGGCTTGGTTAGGCAGTTCTTTCTTGTGCAGTTTCAGTCAGTTGATGGCCAGTCCCAGAGTCTTCCTAAAGGGTGATTGTGGTTGTCAGCTATAACCTCAGCTGGATGTTCTGCATAGTATGTTCTATGAGTATCCTCTTAACAGCAGCGTAACTGGGTTAGGATAGAAAATGTCCTAAGAAGACCAGGCTGAAGCTTGCTGCTATTATGATCTAACCTTATTGCTGCACTCACAGGTCCAACTGGTTTTAAGGGTAGGGGGAAGAGCTGGTGGAAGGATTGTCATCACATGGTAAAAAGGATGATATGCTTGGGAGCCATAACAAGATGGGGCATCTTGTTATGACCATCTTAGAAAAAAGTCTGCTACAGTGACTTGTGTGGGACAGACCATGGAGAAAAAAATGAGATTTCTCCATTTGAAGGTAGGGGAGAATCAAATATGAAAAAGTATATTGTTTGTTTGGGAACAGCAAGTTGGCCCTATATATTGGGCAGGGACCTTGTGGTAAAGAGATGTCAAAGGATAATGCTGAAAGGGCCTTTTCTGTCAGAGTAGCAGATGAGGAAGCCATCAGGTTTATATGCAGCTAAATGATGCACAGTTCTTTGCCAGAGATAGCTGGTGGGAATGTAAAAGGTCGATTTTGAGCCGCAGTTCTCACCTGTTTGCTTCAAGTTATTTCTGTGGGTAACAGACATCCACCCATTGGTAATACTTCTCATTTCTCAAGGAAATTCCCAGTGTAAAGAATGTGGTGTGCTAAGGTGAGGAGGGAGACATACAGTACTTGTGCCAGAATCTCACGTTGGTTGTGGTACTTTGACTACATGGGAGAATACTTGCTTCAAACAATGTGATTCATGAGGAAGAAAGTCTTGAAATCCTGACACTAGTTAAAAGGCCGTTGTAGGGTCTCGGTGAAGGGGAAAAAGAACCTGTGGTAGTGGTGCAAAAGAGGTGAGGTAACAAGTTGGATATGGTAAAGACAGATGGTCAAAAATAATAGGTTTTTAGTATTGGGTATCTTACAGCAGCTTTATGTAGGCAGATACAGATACTATAAATCCGTTTTCACAGATGAGTAAACATTGATTTGCCTAAGATCACCCAGCTGTCAGTGCCAGAGGTACAATTTTAGCCTATTCCTGGCTCCCTGTTCATGCCACATTGTGGCCCTTAAGAGAAATTAAGAAAAAAGAAGTTTGTAATGGAAGGTGTAGGGGCAGGACAGGCCACAGTGCAGGTTTTCTGATCCAGCAGACCGGGTAAAGGAGGAGTCAGAGTCCTCAGTGGCTTTTGCAGATCTTTCATTTAGATTTACCAGGCATACGGCAGGCAGGGGTGCTGGGGGGCTGGGAGGCTGGCAGTCCTCCCAGCTCCCAGCAAATCCTCTATCTGGGCTCTCTGGCCCTCTCTCTGCTTCTCTTCTTCTTCTCTCGGTCCATTCATTCTTGGCTTCTGCGGGCGTCCCTGCGACGGCCGCCCTTATAAACTCAGTCTCTCAGCCCAGGTGTACCCACTTCAGGTGCCCGCCATCAGGCACACATTCAGAACCACAGGGTTCCCTCATCTGTCCTAATGGCGGGAGGGCAGAAAAGCCTGATACTTTTTCCTTACCCTACAGAAGGTTATCAGTTTGATTTCAGAGAAAGAAAAATATACATTCTGTGGGACTTTAGAAGATGCTGAGCTATCAGCTGCTGACAACCAGAGGGTGGAGTTTTGAGGAGCACAATTGCAGACTTTGGGGATGTCAGTAGTTAGCTTTGAGGCCAGAGACTGGATAGCATCACCTGGAAAGAGAACAAGAAGGGAAGGGAAATGGCAATTCTAGGAGACTGGAAGGCATGTAAGGGACTGGTGGCAAAAAGGGATCAGAAGCATTTTAAGAAAATGGTCAGTGATGAGTCCACTACATCCTTCACGTGCCACCTCCCTGGTGAGTGATAAACCCCTCATCCTAGCATTTGTTCTCGCATACCTGACTTCACCCTGACCTTTGAAACAAACCTATCTTGCTCTTCTCCACTGTTTAAACTGTTCATTCTAACTAGATCAGCAGTCTTTTGTGTCTGTATACAAGGTCACTCCCTTCCTCCACATCTTTGCTTGTGTGTGCTCCCTGCATAGACCTCAGCAGGTCAGTCTGGTTTTGAATTTAGGCTCCTCCAGCCTTGGGCTTTGGAGTATAAACCCCCAGCCTCTCCTCGCTCATCTGAAAGCTATAATGACTACTTCCCCATCTTACAGAGTTGTGCAAATTTATGACATTTGCAGATGCCCGCGTAGCAGTCGGCACTTGATGAACGCCACCCCTCTTTCGCTGTTCAGAGCACCGGCCTAGGGTCAGCCAGGCACCACTATCCTGGCCCTTTTGAGTTTCTCTCCAGCAGTTCTGTATCTTGTGATTATGAGTAGCCCTCACAGTATCTCAGGTACAGGGTTAAAGCTAGAAAGAACTTAAGGAAACATAAATGATGAAGCAAAAGGGAGTTAAAATTCACCATTTCTTGCCTTTAAAGAACTTACAGTCTAGAAGAGGGAACTGTAACCACTTCTCGCAGCCCCCTCAAAGTCTCTGATATTCTGAGGCTGGAAACCTGGGCTCTCAGTGTGCCCTGCAGCCTCTTGTTTGTCCACTGCTTTGCTTTACTTTCCATTTGTATTGTCTGTGTTGTCTCCAAAATCATAATCTTTTATTGGTGTCTTATGGAAATGTGAAATTTGGCCTGTGTATCAAATCAGCATAATTTTGCTTTCTGGTTCTTTTCCTCCCATTTTTTATTTCCCCTGATACTAAAGCACCAAGATAATGTGCTAGTTTACATTTTGGGATGTTATTGAATCGAGGTAAGTACAGAGAAGGAATCTCGCTCTGGTTAAAGCAAGTAAAATATAACATATAGAAGTTCTTGAATTGGTATCTGGCACATAGTAGATGTTCAATGATCTTTAATTAGAGTTATCAAAAATTTTTCCTCTGTAAGACTTTTTTCCCCTGCTATTCATGATATGATTAGGTTGTAGAATACTCCCAATAATAACTTTATTTATTTAACTCAGCATTAGTTCTTTTCAGTTTCATTTTGTTGCAAAATGTGCTGACTGTTCCTTTTAGTTTAGTTTTTTGTTTTAGTTTTTTTTTTTTGTAATTTTTGCAAACTTCTCCCATCCTCATTTTTAAAGAATCAAACTCTTAAGGTCTCAGCAGAACTAGAGTAGAGGCGATATAGTTATTGAGGCCATAATTTCCAAATATGAGTTCCCTCTGTATCTGAACTTCTTGCTAACCAGAATCAAGCCCCAAATCCATTGGGATACATTTTCTAGATAGGCTATTTGGTGGGAATGGTTTTCTTGATATCCAGACTCATACTCTGTAAAGCCTAGGAACCTATTGGAGTCTCAGAGTCCTAGATACCAGGTTTTCTGCTGAGATCTCTACCCTTCAGACATCCAGTGCTGTGTTCAGGAGTAATAAGGGAGTAGAATTGAACCAGGTTTGTTGGATTATTATGCAAAATTGTGAACGGCATGTGTTTTTAACATTTTTTAAAGCACCTGCCCCATATTCACCAGTGTGTTTATGCAGTGAAAGGCATAGCAACTTGTAGATTATGCCTTTCCAGTTGGCCAGAGTAATTACAGGCAGACCTTGTTTTACTGCACTTCTCTTTATTGCACATTGGAGATCCTGCTTTTTTTTTAATAGATTGAAGGTTTGTGGCAACTCTGCCTTGAACAAGTCTATTGGGCCCATTTTTTCCAGCCTCACGTTCTCACTTCATGTCTCTGTCACATATAATGTATACTTTTTTTAGACATAATGCTACTGAACACTTAATAGACTACAGAATAGTGTAAACATAAATTTTATATGTACTGGGAAACCAAGACATTTGTGTCTTGCTTTGTTGTGACACTTGCTTTATTGTGGTGGTCTGGAACCAAACCTGCAGTATATCTGAGGTCTGTCTGTTTGTATGTCTTTGAGTTGAAAAGAATTGTAAAAGATTGAGAATTTAAATGCTGTTCAGTATCCAAAAAACTTTTCAAAAACCTGGGATCCATATGATAAGGATGCAGTCAGTTGTGCTTTAAAAAGGAATTGTCTTTCCCTTGCCCTTGTCAGCCTTCCTTGAGTAATTTGACAATATCTAGCCTACACTTGAGCCTTTTATAGTTTGTTCTTTTAAAAACTATAAAGGTAACACGTGCTTGTAAAATTTAGAAATGTGTCTAATAAAAAATGAAATTCCTCTCCTTTACTCCAGTCTCATTTCCCTTGTTAGATTTGCTACATTACAATATTTTGGGGACAAGAAATTTTTGAAGGAGACCAGAAGGGAAACATATTGTCCACTGAATAGCTAATATGTCATATATTAAAATCCAGTCCCTTGGGACCTCTTCATTAATTTTTTACTTTGTTTTCAGAACTGCTCTGAATTAACCCAGAAACCCAGCCACCCTGGTCACCAGGAGCTGTCTCTCTTAGCCTGCTATGAGCCTGCTCTTCTGAGGCTGGAGCCACCTACATGGCCATCCTGCCTTGCTACTGTGAATGACCTCCCCAGCAGGCAGAGGTGGCTGCAAGCGCAGGAAGACACCTTCTAGCTACCCTCATTATTTGACCCTTCTCTTTTAAGGATGGATTTAAGCCAAAAGACACTGAACATAGAAGTCAGAACATTTTCATGCACACATTACCAGTATGCCTTAGTACTTTATGATTACCGTACAAGTATGCAGCACTGGCTTCTTAACTGTAAAGTTCACAGACAGGTCCCATAAATACCTGCCAGTTGATCAGTTGTTTCAAGGCCTCAGTCTTTAAGGCACCACCCAGTTCTTAAGAGTTTCAGCTGGGAGTATTTCAACATTTAGGTACTTAGTGTATCTTACCAACACCCTCATGGGTCTTTGGAAGGAAGGAGTGTGATACTTAGCTTTTGACCGAAACTTTTATTTTGCTCACTCTGCACCAAGCAGTGTTCCTAAGCATATGTTGTTTACTCGTCACAACAGCTCCATGAGTCAAATACTCATATCCTTTCATAGATGAGGAAACTGAGACACAGAGAAATTGAAGTGCGATGCCAAAGTCACACAACCAGTGTGAATTCAGATAGTTTGGCATTTTCTCAGAAACTTTATATTTGTACCATCAGAAAGCTTCCTTCTGAAATGCTGAGCACCTCTTTGTAACTAGCGTAAAAGTTTTCAAACTGTGTTGTGTTACTGAGACATGGTTTCAGATAAAGTAATCTTCCTTCTGCTACAAGCTGTTTTCCAGTTCCGGTTTCAGCTCAGCTACATCTTGTTTTCTGTTGGAATATGGCTCTCAGAAACATTTCTCTGCCAATAAATGCAGAGCAGCTGCCCTAGTGCTTTCCTTCACACCATCTCTTTCCACCTTCTCTCCAGAGTCAATGCCTGTGTGGATGTCGTGCTCTCGGGGGTGAAGCTCTTGCAGGCCCTTGGCCTGAGTCCTGGGAATGGGAAAGACCACACTGTTCTGCATTCAAAGACCCATCTAGAAGAGACCTTCATTCACTTCATGGGGAAGGGAGCAGCTGCGGAGCGCTTCTTCAGCGATAAGGAAGCCTTCCACGACATTGCCCAGGTGGCCTCAGAGTTCCCAGGAGCCCAGGTCTGTTGGCTTAGGATGCCTTAGGCTGGTGGAAGATAATTGTTCCTAGAAACAACCCAACAACTTTTTCCTCCAGTTTGCACCAGAAGGGGTCTTCAGTACTGCAGCGTCTTCCCTTTTTGTAAAACTGTATCTGATCTTCCATGAATCGTACTGCTTCAATTCAGCCAACACTTCAAAAGCATATTTACCAAAACCTTGGTTCTGATTCATCCATTAAATTGTTTTCTTTTCATATTACCCAAGTTCGAGCTAGGAAAGTATGTATTCTTAACTCATCTGGGTATTGTTTGTATTGTGGTGACTTGCACTATCTTGATATGGCTGAGTTCTTAGAGCAGGAGAATAAGATCAAACCCACCAAGAACTGGTTCTAGTCTTCCTGGGAAGGAGGGAACTGGGTTCTCACCTCTGCTCTTAGTAAGCTGGTCCAGAGGAAGGTTTCTCAATGTCAACACTGTTGACATTTTGGGCTGAATCATTCTTTGTTGGGAGGGCTGTCCCACACATGGTGAGGCATTTTGCAGAATGTCTGCCTCTGCACGCTAGATGAGTGGCATTACCCTTAGTCAACAGTTGTGACAGCTGAACACGTCTCCATGCAACCTCAAATGTTTCCAGGCTCTTGAGAGGGAAGGAAACAAAATTGTCCCAGGTTGTAATTGTCTCAGACCTGAGCATGCACCAAAATTACTTGAAGGGTTTTTTGAAACACATTCCTGAGTCTTCCCAGAGTTTCTGCATCTGTTGATATGGGATGGCACCCAATAATTTATCTTTCCAGCAAATATCCTACTCACTTATGTTAATGCTGGTGGTTCGAGGGCCTTGTTTTGAGGTGTGCATCTCTGAATACCTGTCAGAGACAGAGAATCTTGTGGGAAGGGGGTGTCTGTGCCCGCCTGGTGATCACAAAGCCCTGGGCCGGCGAGGTCCAGATATCTCCCGAGGCTCACACTGAGTAAGAGGCCGTGCTGGAAATAGCAACCTGCCAGGGCTTGTGCCCTCACTTGGCACATCTGCTGCTGCAAGTGCCCTCATGCCCCGTGAGAAGCATTTTGGATTGTTTATTTAAACATTTCTCCAACACCCCTTGCCTCCATTCTTACTCACCTATAATCTTTTGCATGGACACCCCAGTCTGGGTGTGGTTTTCACTGGGGAAGCTTTTAATGCCATTTTTAATTGGTACCTTTCTCAGGCCACCCTTTGAAGTTTTTTTTCCCCTTTGAAGCTGCCCATTTGAACATTAGAAATGAGCACAGGCTTAATCCGGCTGAGTTTCCAAAGCAGCAAACTGTTAAAATTTAAGTTACTATCATTTTGACTATTGAGCTCGGTAGTGAGGTGCTGATCTCCTCTAAGACCCTACATCATTCTAACATAACAATTGTATTTAAATCACCTATTGATTTCTGTTCTCTTTTACCTTGAACTCTGCCTTTTGTTTCATGATGCGACAACAGAATTTTTACAGACTTTATCTAGTTTTTTTGACCACCTGAGTTATTTCTTAACATTGTGAAACCTGGGGCCTCCCTGGTGGTGCAAGGGGTTAAGACGCAACCTATGAGGCTGTCCGCAGCCACTGCAGCATGAGTTCAATCCCTGGCCAGGGAACTACCCACATGGCACAACAGACTTCTCCTGACTTGCCCGCTACTCTCCTCAGCAGTGTATTTCAGTCAGTCTGCCTGTTTTGTTTCCCACTGTCTCTCGTGAATCCTCTCACCGCCCACACCTCTGGCCTGTACCCCAGTTCTTGTATGCATCAGTAAATAAATCTTTTTTTTAAAAAATTGTGAAACCTAACATATGATATGTACCTTTCACTACAGTGACATTTCATTTGGTGCCTTTTCAAACTCCCTTAACGTAGAAGGCAGATTGGCTGATAAACAGCAGTGTATAACTGTTATATGAAAAATCCACATCATAAAGTCTTAATATTTTCCCCCGAGATTTTCAGTAAATTCTTATCATTCAACTAATTAGGGCCATAATTCAGCAGATATACGGAAAGTTTTGAATCTGTAGGAAGCTGTTACTATCCCTCCCTGATCCAGAAGTTGACATAATAAACCTTGTTCAGCATCTAGAATGAATTATTGTAGTCTGTGCCTCTGGATGGAACTGAGGACTAGGAAGGTAAGGTAGTAGCATTCCACCCAGATAAGACTCTTGATTTGGCTTCTCAATTTTCACAGAACATCAGTCCTTTCTTCTGGTGGTCAGGTTTCCAAAACATATGGATCCATCCTTAGTCAGTGACATAGAATACCAGTTGAATACCTGCTCTACCCTGCAAGGTCCTCAGCTAAGAGATGGGATTTTTTTTTTTAAAGATTTATTTATACAAGCACTGGGTACAGTCAGAAGTGCGGGACGGTGAGAGAATTCACCAGAGCCAGAGCGGGGAACAGAACAGGCAGATGAAATACACTGCTGAGGGGAGCAGTGGGTGGCAGGAGAGGTCTGCGCACCATATGGGACCCTCGCCGGAGGCCGGGGATCAAACCGGCGCTGCAGAGGCTGCGGGCAGCTTCACAACCCTGTGCTCAACCGCTGCGCCACCGGGGAGGCCAAAGAGATGGGATATTAAGGAGAAAACATTGTCCATTATTAGGACCCATTACTTTTAATATTTATTTCCAGGAAATTCTTGGTGCGTTCTGATGTTTCTGTGTTTCCTCCTTTGAGCACTTGTTGTATTGAGATAGTTTCTACCCTGCAAAAGTTAGTCATGTACCCTGAGGGTAATAGCCCAAGTGAACAAGAGGTACTCATTTAGAGAGCAGGCGTCAAGAGACCTGTAAGGGGGCAGGGAACAGGAGGCGTAACAGCAGTGGCACTGCAACTGACAGTTGAGACGTGGGCAGGGTTTTACCAAGGTCTGAGAAGGGGCAGGTGTCCAAGTCAAAAGAACAAGAGTGTGCAAAAGGCCCTGAGGCACAGAAGAAAGCCTACTTGGAGTGCAGCACAGAAGGAAAGAGATGAAGGTTGAAAGGAGAGTCGAGGGCAGATGGCCTGTATGTTTCAGAAGAGTGATTTTGTTCATTATAGTAGTTACCCAGTGAGTCTCAGAGGACAGCAACATAGTTTTATACTCACTTTATTTTATTTTATTTTAAAATGCACTTAACTTCCTCCACCTTTTTTTTTTTTTTTTTTTAATAGATGCATGTTTTATTTATTTATTTGGTTGGTTGGTTTTTTGTTTATACATGCACTGGGTACAGTCAGAAGCGCGGGAGGGTGAGAGAATTCACCAGAGCCAGAGTGGGGAGCAGAGCAGGCAGAAGGACCGAAGTACACTGCTGAGGGCAGCAGCGGGCGGCAGGAGAGGTCTGCGTGCCATGTGGGACCCTCCTCCGGTGGCCAGGTTGCAGCCGGGGATCGAACCGGCGCTGCAGAGGCTGCGGGCAGCTTCGCAACCCAGCGCTCAACCGCTGCGCCACCGGGGAGGCCCTTTATACTCATTTTAGAAGGATTATAGCATGGAAGACCTGCCCACACTTCTCATTTCTCTTTCATTTGTTCTGGCTGCCTGGAAGCTCAAAACCAAATTTGATCTGTGGTCCAGACAATTATACTAATTTTCATAGTTAACATGTTTGTTTTTTTCACATTTCCTTATAAATTATTGACTATTAGCATATGGGTTAATGTGTTACTGTCTTTATATGTGTGTCCTTGATGTAAAGTCACTAACTTTTTTTAAAAAAAACTACAATAAGTGAAAAAAGTGTTAAACTTGGGTAACATAGTTGTGCTAAAATACTGTCTAAAACCTTGAATTCTCTTACAGCACTATGTAGGAGGAAATGCAGCTTTAATTGGACAGAAATTTGCAACCAACCCAGATTTAAAGGTAGGTCAAATTCCCAGATAAAATGCATGCCTTTCATTAGTTTTAATAATTTTAGGAGCAAGAATGAGTTTCTGCACCTTGATTCAACTTATGAGCCGCCTACTGTGTGCCAACTCCTGGACCTGTTACTAGGAGGCAATATAGTAATTGTAGGAAAGCAGTAATAGCTGATACTTCCTGAGTACTTTCTGTGTGTCTGATGTTGGTGGTGCCTAGATACCGCATTTAATCCTTGCAACAACTCATAAGGCTAGTTTGTACTGTTGTTGGTGCTGTTACTGTCTCTCCTTGTGCATGAAGCTTGAGGCATAGAGAGGTTTACAGTGAATAAAAATGAAACTGCTCACACTAGACTCCATGTTCATAAGTACTAAAAGGTTTGTTAGTAAAGAGCCTGAGACGGGAGATTATGCAGTGATGACAGAAAAGAGTTGGCTGTATTGGTGAGCCTGCATCCCGAGTGTTGCAACATGGAAGCCATTCGATGAGGGATCAGCAGTGAAAACTTAAGTCTTAAACAATTTGGTTTAACTAGAATTTAAAAATTACTGCTGTTGGGGCCTCCTTGGTGGCTCAAGGGGTTAAGACGCAACCTATGAAGCTATTTGCAGCCACTGCAGCACAAGTTCGATCCCTGGCCAGGGAGCTACACACATGGCTCAGCAGACCTCTCCTGACTGGCCCATTGCTCCCCTCAGCAGTGTATTTCAGTGAGTCTGTCTGTTCTGCTCCCCACTCTGTCTCTGGTGAATCCTCTCACCCCCCACACCTCTGGCCTGTACCCCAGTTCTTGTATGCATCAATAAATAAATCTTTAAAAAAAAATTTACTGTTCTTTTCAAAATAACATATGAGTAAGATTTTTTTTTTTTGTTTTTTTTTTTGTTTTTTTTTTTGTTTTTCTGTGAATGACAGTAGGTCCTAGTGGAGAGACCAACAGGGAGGTTATTGCTGTGGTCCTGGTGCAGAATGATTAAAGTTTAGATTACAGCAACCAAAAGAACTATCTAAAACCTACTAAAATGGAATCACTCAGTGCTATACTATACATGGGGGCACAGGAGATAGATTTAAGAAGATGATTCAAAGTAAATAAGCTTGAGATGTACAGATGGGTGTGGCTCTGATGATCAAGGGGATCATAAATAGTCCTCTAGTTTGGGGGAGCAGCCTAAAAATAGAAATATGGATTAGCAGCACAAAAACAAAACCCAGAGAGGGACCCATTAATACAGATAGATGAGCAGCAGTTTGAGGGGAAGAATTCCTGTGGAGCCACAGTATACTTAGATGTGGAAAGCACATTAAGGTCTGAATATTCACATTTTAATAAGAATTAAAGTTCTCATGAAATATTAGGCTGGAAAAAATAGATTCTTTGCAGTCATGATCTTTGCATGATTCTTTGCAGTTCCCAAATAGAGAAGATTGGCAATTCTAGGGCTTCAGAATATTCAGAATATTTCTAGGCTTCAGAAATATTACTATTAATGGATAGAAGAGACAAAAAAATTGGTTATAAACTTCATAGAAAGAGCCCAGGCCCTTCCCTGCAGAATCCTGGACATCTGTATAGGTCCCTAAAATGCCACCTTGCTGACCCTGAAAACCAATTCTGGTACCCTGGGATGACAACACCCTGGAAGTCTTAGGTGAGGACAACATTGAACTTTCCACACTGACACCCCAGGGACCAGCTTTTGCTTTTGGTCTCTGGAGAAGCAGGGCCTGGGACTGGTTTGATTCAGAAGCATTGTGGTTAAACAAACCTGACCTTGGTTGGAGTTTGAGGGGATAAAAAGGACTCTATTTTGCAGTCCTCACAACAGTCTGATAAGTAAGATATCATCACCCCTTTAAAGATGGTAAAGAGGGCTTCCCTGGTGGCACAGGGGTTAAGCACAGCACTGTGAAGCTATCCACAACCTCTGCAGCACGAGTTCAATCCCCGGCTGGCCAGGGAGCTACCCACATGGTGCAGCAGACCTCTCCTGTCTCACCCGCTGCTCCCCTCAGCAGTGTATTTCAGTCAGTCTGCCTGTTCTGTTCCCCACTCTGTCTCTGAATTCTCTCACCCCCCACACCTCTGGCCTATACTCCAGTTCTTGTATGCATAAATCTTTAAAAAAATAATAATAAAGATGATAAAGAGATCCAGAGAGATTAATGTGCCTGAGGTCATCAGCCAATAAATGACAGAGCCAGGGTTCCAGTGCCAGGTGCTGCCATGACTTTATACCCTCTTTTATACCTCTTATAATCTCTCTCTCAGAGATTCAGTTTAATTTTCTGAAGTACTTCTCAATCTGGATAAAGTAATCATCTAAAACTACCCAAAATTAGAAGTAGGTATTTTTCAAAGATAATCACAATAATAGTACTAATATAGTTCCTACTATATACGAGGCACTGTATTAAGTGCTTTACATATTTTTTAGCTCATTAAATTCTTACAACATACTGTAAGGGAAATCCTATTATTATGTCTATTTTGTACATAGGAAAAATGAGATATGGAGAAATTGAAACTTCATACACCTAGTAAGGCCTATAACTGGGATTTAATCCAAGTATTTGAGCCCCAGAGTCCCTAGTCTTAAAGAGTATGTCTCAGAAATAGATCATGGTGATTATAGCAAAGAGACATTTAGTCGAATGGTGGAATAAAAGCAAGATTGCATGGCTGGGAGCAGTGCCTTTGGGAAGTACATTTGTGTGACTTAGCCACGAATTAGGAATAATGTTGGATTTGGTCAAATGCAGTTTCTGCATCAATTGAGATGACTATGATTTTTGTTTGGTGTATGGCAATTACACTCATTTTCAAATGTTAAACCAACCTTGCATCCCTTGCAAATTCCATTGGTTTTGATGTATTATCCTTTTTTCTGTCATTGGATTACCTTTAATACATTTTGTCTAGAATCTTTGTATCAATTTCCCAGAAGGATGCTGATCTATATTTTGCTATTTTTGTGTATGTCTGTTATTTTTGGCATTGGGGGAACAATGACTTCATAGAATAAGTTGGGAAATGTTTCATTTTTTCAAAAAAGAGTATGTAGAGTTGGTCTTGTATCTTCCTTAAATGTTTATGGAATTCACTAATGAAGCCCTGTAGCCCTGGAGTTTTTCATGTGGGAAGGTTTTTAATGACAACTTTGATTTGCTTAATAGATATAGAAAAATTCATTTTTTCTCTTTCTTGAGTGAGTTTCTAAACAGTTTTATCTTTGAGAGAATTCGTCCACTTCATCTAAGTTGTGGAATTAGCATAAAATTAATCATAATATTTCCTTCTCCAAGATCTGTAGATACTGCAGTAATACTATCTTTCTTGATCTTGGTAATTTATGTCTCTTTTTTTTTTTCTTGATTGATTTGTCTAGGGGTCTATCAGTTTTACTGATCTTTTCAATAATGAGCTTTCTGTTTCACTGATTTTTCTCTCTTGTTTTCCTCTTTTGTATATCATTGGTTTGTTTAATTTCTTCTTGTGCTAGTTTCTTCAGGGAGAGGCTGGGGTCATTTACTTGAGACCTTTGTTACTTTTTGTTATAGGTGTTTAGTGCTATACATTTCTCCTTAAATACAGTTATAGCTGCATCCTACAGATTTTCAATCACTGTTTTAATTTTCATTCAGGTCAAAATGCTTTCTAATCACATTTCTTGCAATGGGTCCATCTATGCATAGGCTATTTAGAAATGTGTTGTTTAGTTTCTACATATTTGGGGCAAGGGTCCAGATAACATTCATTTATTGATTTCTCTTAATTCCTTTGTGGTCAGAATATGTTTCTTTGACTCTTAATAAAAGTATTGAAATGTTTTAATGACCTCGAGTATGATCTCTCTTGAAGGCCCACATGCACTTGAAGCATGTATATTCTGCTGTTAATGAGTGAAGTGTTCTTAAGTGTCTTCTTCTTTTCTATTTCACCAGTTTGTTTACTTGAATTTGACTAGGTTGGTTGATAGTGTTGTTCAAAGTCTTCTGTCTTTTTACTGCTTTCTGTCTTCTAGATTTATCAATTATTAAGAGGTATTAATATCTCCATGGTATTATGGATTTGTATATTTTCCTTGCCTGATCTATAACTTTGCTTCTTGTGTATTTGTAAATTGTTATTAGCTGCATAAATGTTTGATTGTTACATCCCCTTCATTAGTTGATCCCTTTATCATTGCCAGAGATAAAGAAATCCTAATATTTGCCCCAAAATCTGTTTTGACTAAAGTAGCCATTCCAGTTTTCTTTTGATTAGTGTTAGCATAATGTATCTTTTCACTCCTTCTGTTTGTGACCTGTTTGTGTTTATGTAATATGTATATTGTATATAATATAGTGTACACATATATACATTGTACATGTGTGTATAACTATAATGTACTTCTTATGGACAGCATAAAATTGGGACTTTTTAATCCACTTTGACAGTCTTTTTTTATTGGACTACTTACATTTAGTAAGATTATTGATGTTATTAGGTTAGATTTTTAAATATGGCATTTGTTTTCTATTTATCCCCCCTCTTCATCCTCTTTTTCTGCATTCTTTTGGGTTATTTTCTTCTATTTCACATTATCTTTTTTTTTTATTATTTTTAATTTGTTATATTAGTGGTATTTTAGGGTTTATAGTGTACAATTTTAGCTTATCACAGTCTACTTTCAAGTGATACTGTATCGCCACGTGTAACATAAGAATTTTACAGTAATGTGCATCCATTTCTGCTTTCCATTTTTGTACTATTACTGCTTTGTAGTTTACATCTACATATATTGTAAAATTAAGATTATCTTGTTAATATTTTTCTTTAAGCAGCTAATCATCCAATATATTTAAACAACACCTTATGTCCTTATCCAGAATTAGCATTTCTGGTGTTCTTCATTTGTGTAGTTCTGTATTTCCATTGGTATCATTTCCTTTTGCTTGAAGAATTCCTTTAGTATTTCTTGTAATGCAAGTCTGCTGGTGATTAATTCAAATTTTGTGTATCTGGAAATTAAAAAGGTAATTTACTGAACATTTGTAGAGCATACTCAGTTTCCTCTTGTTGGTTAGAAATCACTGTCCTTTCACAGAAACATCAATTCCAAAGAGCACCTGCACCCCTATGTTTATAGCAGCACTATTTACAATAGCTAAGCTTTGGAAACAACCCAAATGCCCAAAAATAGATGACTGGATCAAGAAGATATGGTACATATACAGCATGGAATATTACTCGCATTCAAAAAAGATAAACACATGCAGTTTGCAGCAACATGGATGGAGCTGGAAGGATCAATGATGCTCAGCGAAATAAGCCAGAAAGAAAAAGAAAAATACCAGATGGTCTCACTCATAGCAGGAATCTTGAAAACTTAAATAAGGGACCAGGGAAAAGAATAACTATAAGAAAGAAAATATCAAAATCAACAAACAACTATGAACCAGAGACACTCTATGTGGGGTAGGGGGCGGGGAAAGGAGGCTTAGGGTCAAAATAAGGGGGTTGTAATTGTAAGGGGAATATAAAAATAAAATTTAAATAATAAAATAAATACATAAATCACTGTCCTTTGTTGCCCAGTGTCCAAATTTTTTAAAAACATTGTTTATTTTGTCTGGCTAGGAGGGTGGATCTGACCCTTGTTATCTCATCCTGAAAACTGAAAATCTAGCTTAGAGCTAGATTTTTCCTATGGGAACAAAATAAAGTTGTAGGGTCAGGACTTTTCAGAAGTGGCAAATATGGGCATGTGTCAAGTTAGAAAGGGAGAGGTCAAAGGGAGGCAGATATATTTTTACCCAGAAGCTAGGATTTCTTAGAAATGTGAACATGCCTCTTCAGAAAAAAAAAAAAAAGCAGTTAATTAGCAAATCCAGATGCTCTCGAGGCTTCTGGGTAGGGCGTATAAATCTGAAATGGTGTTGGTCATCTCTAGGGACTTCCTTTAAATCCTGGCCCAAGCCCTCATTGCGCATTGGTGTCAACTTTGTTAGCCTGACTGTGAGTGGGGCACAGAACTGGCATGGTACACACAGCAGATGTGAAATGGCTTCCAGAAAGAATAGCCACAGAGAGGCCCAACTTGGAGTTGAAGAAAAACGTTTTGGAAAAGCTACAGCACACTTTCCCCCATACTTTCCAAACTGAGATGCTCTTTAATTCTCATATTTGGAAGGCAAGCCTGTTAACATAACTGTAGTAGAGAGGTTGATCCCACAGATTAGGCCGTCTGATTGTTGAGGGTATTGCCATCCTGAGGCTCTTTGCTGTATAAAATTCAAACATTTGTTTTCATTGGCAATTTTCAGCAGATAACATCCCTATCTGTTTACTATACAGGTTATGAGTAAGAAAGTGGAGGAGAATTGTGTTAGTCGGATAGACTGCCACAATATAGGCTGAGTGTTTTAAACAACAGAAATTTATTTTCTCACAACTTGGAGGCTGGAAAGTCTAAGATCAAAGTTCCATCAGGGTTGTGTCTGATGAAAGCTTGCAGTGGCCACCTTCTGACTGTGTCCTCCATGGCCCTTTCTTTAGTGCATATACTAGAGAAAGAGATCTCACCTCCTTTTCTGTTGGGTTGGGACCCCATCCAGATGACCCCATTTAATCTTAATTACCCTCTCTCCAGATGCCATCACATGGCAGTTAAGCTTCAGCATATGAATTTGGAGGGATAGAAACATTCAGACCCTAATGGGGTATATAGAATTTGGAGGCTGCATTGGTACCTGTATAACTTGTGTGACTTGAGTCTTTTGTCGGCCTCTCATTTCTGGGTTCATATCCTCTGGAGTCCTGACCCCTGATAATAGCCTTTTACTACCTTCCTCCATACTAAAAGCTTTCAAAATTAGATTTGGAGTTCATTGTTTTGTTGAAGTGAATAGACATGGCTTGGATATACCTTTTCAGTTAATGCCAGATTCCATGGGTAAAGGCATGGGTCTTCTCATAGACTTCGTTTTGTTTGTCTCCAGGTTCTTCTTTGTGGTCCAGTTGGTCCAAAGCTGCACGAACTTCTTGATGACAACGTATTTGTTCCACCAGAGTCATTGCAGGAAGTGGATGAATTCCACCTCATTTTAGAGTACCAAGCAGGTAAGAGAAATGAGTAAGTAATGGTGTAAGACTAGTCAGGGGATTGTGTATTGTCAGATTGGGGTGTAAAAATTATCTTTGAAAATTGTCAGGGTTCCGTTCTTGCCAGACCAGACCAGACCCGTTTTTTGTCTGACCCCGTGGTACTGCTGAGCTGCTACTGGCCATGGTCTGGAGGAAGAGTGCTGGCATCTTGCAGCACTGCCCAAAACTCCCAGGTCCACAGTAGTCCTAACCCAAGAGAAATCAGCTTGTAGGAAAGCAGGTGTCACGCATAAAAATGAAAATGCATTAAACACGCGTGCCCAATATTTTTCCTTATTACTGAGAAAAGAGAAGGGCAATGACATCTGCTCAGCTCTGCTGGATTCTGCCCTCGGCCTTGCTGGTCAGCTGTTACAAGCTGATTAAGATTGATTCCAGGCACCTGCAAACTTCTTTTGAAGCATTTTCTTTCCTTGTGTGTGTATGAAAGTGGAAGTGTTTTGTATTTAACAACACTTAATTTATTTCCCATTATATAATGTTCTGATTTTATAAATCAAATCAGCCCATCCCAGTAGATTTTGTGTTATACAGACTTGCAGATCTAATTTCTGAGAGAATCCTGAATACCTGAACATATTTTATTCTGTTTATTTGATTCTGTATGTTTGCTTTTATAGCTTTTCTTTACTCAGAACTCAGACTCTTGAATTTTGGTTCAGCATGTTACCAATTGGTTCCTTAAAGCAGCACTTCACACGCTTCAGTGAACTGCTTCCAAGTCAGACAATTAGGAGCATCTCGCCTTCTAGAGCCATTACCTTTAAAATAAGATGTGAAATAGAGTGATTTCTCTAAGTACAAAGAATTGCTTCTTGTTTCTTGTTCTCTTTGGGGTACTTACTGGAATGAGGAAGTTAGGAAGGGTCTGAAAATCAGGGACAGAATGTTGGAATAGACAGTTCACTTTTAAAGATGCTCAAGTTTTGAGTTTCTCTCCAGTTTAGTTTCCCCAAATGGGAAGTCATAGTCTTACTGCCTGCAGATTGAAATAGCGAGGATGAGAGATCATCGTGTCTCAGTACCGTGAGGGCCTAAACGCAAGGCGTGAATGGCTGTTGCCTGGAAGGGACTGGAATACTGCAGATGTGTCTTGGAGGTGCCTGCTGCTACTCGCAGGTCCAGGTTCATCTCACTTTCGCTGTGAGCACTCACACCATGAACTTGGGACCTGCCTGGTTACTGTAACTTTTCCTGGTGAGTAGAGTGGAGACTAGTTTCCTCCAGGAGACTTTGCTGTTATATTTGACAAACAGTGCCTTGGGTGCAATTAAGACAGCACAGCTTATCCTGAAAGGAAGTTGTTTCTACCCTTGGAATGACAAGCTCACTTTTCAGTTTTTCTTTTCTATGCCCCATTTTCTCAGTATGTAACAGTGGACTTTCATTAAAATTCCTGTGAAGTTACATTGTTATCAGCCCCAGGAGGGAACCTAGTCTAGGGGTAGCCACCCTCTGGTCAGCTCTGTCCCCAGCTACTCTCCTCATGGATGAGTCAATTCCCAGAGAGGATTGTCACCTCTTTTTTCCTTCCAGCCCTCCCCCAAGGAATTTATTTTCAGGCATTGGGCTGGGGATCCAATGAGTCACTGTATAGCTTTTGTGAACTTACTAACCCAAGGGCAGGATGATAAATTGAGAGAAGGGAGCACTTACAGAAATGAAGTGCTCTGTGAGAAAGAGGGCAGCATCTGTCATTACAGGTTCACCCTGTCTGAGTTTTGGTCATTTTGCTTCTCAAGCTCTACATCAGCCCTGTGTCTGTGGAAACAGCCAGTGACCAGCTCTTCACATCCCTGCTTGTCTTTGCCTTGCTGAAGTCTGTTGATTTTGCTTCTGTCATTTTTTTTCCCTGTGGAAATGAATTGACTTTGAATGTTGTGGCTCTTTCCTGCTAGGTTCAGATAGGCAGTGCTTCTTAGTGTTTCACTCTGTGAAGCCCACTTCCAGGTCTTGCCTAGAAGTGGAGAATCCTAATGTCCTGTGTATTCCTCTCTCCAGAGTCTCGTTGCTGAAGAAATGTTGCATTTGAAATTTATACCCATATTTGTTGTCACAGGCATTTAAGTCATCAGTCTGATCTCACTCGTCTTGCTAATTCAGTTGTATAATTATATACCAGGAACAGTGAGGCAGTAGCAATATGATGATATGAAGACCGGGACGATGTCCTCAGCTCACCATTTACTGCAAGAGATGGACTCTTACACAAATTATTGCTAAATCATGTTCCAAGTCCTGTAATAGGGTACAGCAGTGGCTTGAAGGAAGTGATCAAATCTCTTGGGGGGTGGCAGGGTTAGGAAAGCCTTCACAGGGAAGGCTGTCCTGTGTTGGGTTTGTAGAGATGAAGCAGAGTTGAGATTCTGCTCTCATGACCCCTGGGCATTTCCTCTGAACAAATAATGAGACAGGGGCCAGGAGGTAAGAAAGGAATGTGGTATGTTAGCAAATATAACTGTTGTGTTGGAGTTTAGTAAGTAGGTAACATTTTTTTCTGCTTTCACAGATTTGTATACAAATGACTCAGATATCTCTCACAGGATTAGATTCAGTAAAACTAAACCCAAAGCAGAGGAAGGATGGGTTCTCCCAACCTTGACACCCTTGCTGTGAAGAGTCACACATGCACGCTTCCCCAGAGAGGCAGGGTTCTGTTGGAAGAGGACGCTCTGGAAAGGGGGAAGCAGGTTGCCAATTGCAGTTGGTAGATCAACCTGCATTATGAGGAAACCCTGTTTGAGGGGAAACTTTCAGAAGGAAATAGCAATATGTATGCTGGGAACCAATGAAAAACCAGGTTGCCACATACAGACTTCGATTTTGTAAATGGGACGGACCCTTTAGTGGAAGGAAAGCTGTGTAAGTCTGGGACCTAAATCCCTCCACTTCCATGCTGGTGGGGACCTGCTCCCTCTGGTGCTCAGGGATGGCCTCGTTTAGGATTTGCCCTACATGGTAGCAGAGCAGAGGCAACCCTTAGGCTCACTAAACTTCAAGATTTTCTGCCAAGTCTTGTAAAGAAAGGTGTGAGCCCTGCATGGGAACGCCTGAGCTCATGAAGCCTCACCAGGTGGGCTCCAAGAGCCCTCGGCCGCCACACTGCTTCCCTGCTTCAGGACTCAGCAGTGGCACGCTCCTCTGCGACTTGCTGCGTGGGGTCTTAAGCAGTAGTTTCCACCTATCTGCCCCTCAGTCTCCAGCGCTGGGGCGTTGCCACTCACACAGCACACACTGTGTCAGTAGAGTCTGATGGCGTGGCCAGTGCTGAGAACCTCTCCTGTAAGTGCATAGACTCCACTACCCTGCCAGAAGACCCACAAAGGTGGGGCTGTCTCCCTCTGCTTGGGTCAGATTAGCAGATGTCAAGTGGGCACTGTGACAAGAGTCAGACATCCTGCCTGCCCTTTAAAGAACTGGGGCACAAATCTGTGGCAAGTAGAGTTGAGAATAGAAGAGAGAACTCAAAGCAAAATGATTAATCATTTTCCTTAGTCCACCTTGTGGATGCTCTGAATAGTGAAAATGCTCCTCAGACTCAGTCAGCAACGATTTAGGGGAATGTAGCTCTTGAGCTCAGTCTCGAACAGTCCTTATTCCCAAGCAACTCACTTGGAGGAGGCCAGACACTCTTACCTCTGGATCAAGTGCCTGTAAACCCCCATGTAGGCCGTGGCTGAGCGAGGGATCTCAGGGAGTGGCTGTGAAGTGGACATGCTTTGGGACGCATGCCCCAGTATAGTGTGCTGGTTTGTGGAGGCGGTGCTCCTCCCTCCCTGTCTCTGGGAGCTCAGTGGACAGTAGAGGTTTCCTGGGATTGGAGGGGAGCTACTTGGCAGCCCTGAACAAAGGCACATAGCACTTTTACTATTTTATTGTCGGGTTGGGGTTTTGGTTTGTTTGTTTACTGCCCACCATCCTCCTGGATGCAGTCCTGTGCACACCTTGGGCCACCGTGGCCAGGGTCCATCACCAAGGACCAGCCTACCCAGAGCCGAGGCTCCAGTGAGGCCCCTGAAAGTACACCCCTCACCCTGCACCTCCACCAGCTAAGCGACTTAAAGCCTCTTCCTTTTCTTCCCATTGTGTTGACTGGGCTTTTCTAGGGGAGGAGTGGGGCCAGTTAAAAGCTCCCCATGCCAACCGATTCATCTTCTCCCACGACCTCTCCAACGGGGCCATGAATATGCTGGAGGTGTTTGTGTCTAGCCTGGAGGAGTTTCAGCCAGACCTGGTGGTCCTCTCTGGATTGCACATGATGGAGGGACAAAGCAAGGAGCTCCAGAGGAAGAGACTCGTTGAGGTAATAGCACTGTTAGAGAATTTCACAGATTTCAGCTGTGTTTCCTTCTGATTCCTGCCTCTCCTGGTTTTGCAGCTTGTGCTGCCTGACCCGCAGCCCCAATGTCCCAAGGACAAATCATGGCACCCGGCTCCAAAGCCTGCTTCCTGCCCCAGCGAGGCAACTCACAGTCTTCTTTCAGTCCTGGGCAGCAGCTTGAGTAGGACAGGTCGGAACCGCTTGCCCGAGTCTGCATCCTGGGCTAACCTGAACACGGCTGCTGTGTTTGTAATTTGTCTTTCGTGTTACCTGTATCATCTCATGTCACATCAGCTGCACTGCATTCCTGCAGATTCATGTACTGTGGGTTTAGTCCCCAGGAAGGGGCTGGCTGTGGGAGTGTGCAGAGCCACTCTTCATGCTCTGCGGAGCCTTACTTCCCTGTTGGGAAAAGCAAACCTCTGCTTTTCGCTGAGGCAGAGAAGGCAGTGCCAGGAGGCATTGCTCTCAGGACCTGGTCCCATCTTCATTTCTGCCTGACTTCTTGTTTCTAACGGTGGTGCTGTCCTCACCTCTCTGCAGGTCGTGGCCTCCATCTCTGACATCCCGACCGGCATTCCCATCCATCTGGAGCTGGCCAGTATGACCAACAGGGAGCTCATGAGCAACATTGTGCATCAGGTAACCGCATGGGCTGAGCATGGAGGACTCTCTGGCCTTAACCCTCACAGGCCCTTGCGGAAAACCACTTTTGTGTTTCGGCTCAGGGCCACCTCACCAAGCTGTGGATATCATGTCGCTCAGACCTTGGTCCATGGAGATCCAGATAAGGAGCCAGTGCTGTTGTGGGGCAGGCTCTCCTACTAGGTTAGAAATCCTGCAGTGTCATCGATGCGTTCATGGGCCATGTTTTTCCCTCTGAAAGGGGGAAGATAGAAGTGATTGCAGTAGAACTCAAGGGGGAAAACTGAAAACCCGGCTTGGTTGCTTTCAGGTGAACTTCAGGAAGCTCAGAGAAAAAAAAACTTGGGGAACTGACTCCCTCAGCACCAGGCATCAGGTGTTCAGCTCTTGCCTTTGGACAACAGTGATGATTAGATAAGGCCAGGACCATGAGGCTTTAAGAACACAACTTGGGAAACTTGGTTGGAGTACCAACTTTGGCACTCTCACTGCTTTGAGAAGTTAGACAAGTTATTAAACCTTACATTTTATTGTTATTTAACATTTTTTAAATGGGTAATATATTTATATGATTTAGAGCCCAAAATGCATTAAGAGATATACAACAACATATCCTTCTCTCTTCCCTTCTGTGCCCATGTCTCCCTGTTAGTTTCATCCGTAGACTCCAGAATTACTGTGTACATCCATCAGCGAATGTGGGAATATATCCTTATTTTACCTTTTTACCCACAAAAAGTAGAAGCATTCTAAACACTCTATTGTGCACTTGCTTTTTGTTCAATGAATACATTTCGGAGATCTTTTCTGTGTCATCACATGGTAAAAGGAATATGTGGGTGTGCCTGTTTTTTTAACCCAAACCCCCTTAGTGGGCATTGTGTTGTTACATCATTTGCTATTCCGTACACCACTGCAACAAATCACCTTGTACATGAATTTGTTTTGCCCATGAGCAAGTACCTATGTGTATAGAAGTACACTCTCAGAAGTACAGCTGCAGGATTAGAGCTTAAAAAGCATTTGTAAGTTTGAGGTTACCCATATGAGGATTGTACAACTATAGGTGCTTATTTCCTCATATCCTTGCCACTGAAATACAATTAAAAATATACATTCTTGGGGCCTCCCTGGTGGCGCAGTTGGTTGAGCACTGCACTGTGAAGCTGTCCGCAGCCTCTGCTGCGCGGGTTCGATTCCCAGCCAGCCAGGGAGAAACCCACATGGTGTGGCAGCCTCTTCTGTCCCACCAGCTGCCCCCCTTAGCAGTGTATTTCAGTTGTCTGCCTGTTTTGCTCCCCCCTCTCTTTGGTGAATTCTCTCACCCTCCCGTGCCTCTGACCTGTACCTCAGTTCTTGTATAAATAAATAAATCTTTAAAAAAAAATTTTTTTAAATATATACATTCTTACCAATCTGGCAGGTGAAAAATGGTATTTCAGAAGTGTTTTTTTTTTTTTTTTTTTCCCTTTGATAGACTTAACTTCTTAGGCAGTTTTAGGTTCACAGCCAAATTGAACAAATGTTGAGTTCCCATATACCACTGCCCCACACACCTGCAGTCTCCCTCTTGTCAATGCCCACTGCTCTGGGGGGTACCTTGATACAGTCAGGAGCCTACGTTGATAGATCTTCCCACCCAAACTCCCTGGTTACATTAGTGTCACTCCTGGTGTTTTTAAGTATGGCTTTACTTGCATTTCTCTCTTTAAGGTCGAATTTCTTCTCCCTTTTTAAAAACAAGCCATTTTTACTTGATTTTCTATGTAACTGTCCACTTAATCTAGCTGATCCTCAGTTGCTTATCTGCAAAATGGAGGTCACCCCTTCTTCCCTCAGAGGGTTACTGTAAGAATTAAATAAAACCTTCAACTCAGTGCCTGGCACTGAACATGGAGTAAATGGAAGTGGCTGTTACACTGGCAAAGGTGTAGGTCATCAATTGAAAGATAGTTAGCACGCACGCCCTATCTGCATGCTGCATACAGGGTTCACCTCTTGCATATTCACCTTAGATGCATTCCGGGCTTTAAGGAAAGTGCTAAGTAAAAAAGAGCATGAGGTAGGTATAGTCATTCCCCTTAAATAACAGGTTCAGTGGTTCCTGTTTGGTACCACTTTTCACAATGTTACTGCTAAATGCAGCCTTCCTGACCCACAAATGCTTCAGAGGTTTAGCCCTCACACGAGACTGCTGCTTGCTTTCTGATGGTGTTTACACAGAGCCGTCATGCCCCTGGCTGTGCAGCTGGGGCCTTCACCTTTGCACCAGCCGAAACCTTGCTGACCTTCAGGAACTGAGAAGCAAGTCCCCTCAGTAGCAAGAAAACCGTGTGTGCCAAGGTGAAAGCTTGGCACCACAGAAAACAAGTGCATCTCCCCGCTTTGTCTCAGCTTCACATGTGAAGAGAGGCTGGTGTCCAACAGTGTCACTGCAATTTTCTTATTTACCCAAGTGATGATGATGAAGGTGGAGACAGCGGTTTACCAGACAAAACAGTGCACTGTGATCGTCACCTCCCCACCACAGGCTTCAGGGCAGGGTCTTATGGTAACGAAGAAAAATGCTAATGTTAGTCTTTGGCTGTGTCCTAAGATGTCTTCAGAGCTAGGTGTCCATCAGAAAGAGACCTACCATTTTGTTTTTGTTAGCAGGTCTTTCCTGCTGTGACTTCCCTTGGACTGAATGAACAGGAGCTGTTATTTCTGAGCCAGTCAGCATCTGGACCTCACTCCTCTCTCTCCTCCTGGAATGGTGTTCCTGATGTGGGCATGGTCAGTGATATCCTCTTTTGGATCTTGAAAGAACATGGGCGGAGTAAGAGCAGAGCCTCAGACCTCACCAGGATCCATTTTCATACACTGGTCTACCACATCCTGGCAACTGTGGACGGGCACTGGGCCAACCAGCTGGCAGCTGTGGCTGCAGGTGCACGTGTGGCTGGGACACAGGCCTGTGCGACAGAAACCATCGACGCCAGCCGAGTATCTCTGAGGGCACCCCAAGAGTTCCTGACTTCCCACTCAGAGGAGGGCTCCAGGGTCATATTTAACCCAAATGAGCCAGTAGTAGAATGGCACAGGGAGGGAATATCCTTCTACTTCACACCAGTGTTGGTATGTAAAGATCCCGTTCGAACTGTGGGCCTTGGCGATGCCATTTCGGCCGAAGGACTCTTCTACTCAGAAATACACCCTCACTATTAGGAAGGTTGCTGTGGGTAATTTTCTGAGGAAACTAAAGAATTAATTCTTTTCTGAGGAAATAAAAATTAAAGGAATTAAGTGAGTTAGAGAACAGACTGAGCGTGTCAGAGCAATTTCTAGATCTAACTGAAAGATAGCCAAAGAAACATCCACAAATTAAACTGTATCAGATACATTCCAGCCTATTGACAATTACACAAAAACATTTCAGGTTTTGATCAAAATTTAGCTATCTACTAACAAGACTGGAGTTGTTTTTTTTTTTTGTTGTTGTTGTTTTTTATGTTGTGCTTTACAGAGGCAAAAACTTGATTCCCAAATCCCTTCTTGATTCAGCATCCTCAAATATTTTAGGCCAGATTTCTTCACCCGAAGAGCATGTCGGCTGGAGACAGCACTTCTTCCTCGCCCACGTCAGAAGTGCACACTCACAGCACTCAGCTCAGTGTGAGGTTCTCGTGTTCTCTCAGCTCCGTGCTCACAGCCAGGATCACAAATCCCATTCAGTGTTATAATGGAAATATTTAATGAGTGCACCATCTCTTCTCTGAGGACAGCGCCAAACTTAGGACAGTGCCACAAGCAAGGAAAAAGTCCCTCCTGTGCTGTACAGTCACAGTAGTGACTGGTGTTTTTGCAGGGATTGCCCAAGGTATGGTGGTCAGCGGCCTGGCCCCCTGCAGGATGGCATTATGCACTGAAGGACTGTGCCTTCCACCCTGGCTCCTGGAGTTGAAGCTGACTGGTTAAAGACACCAGGCCGGGGCCCCCAACCTCATCACCCTGCTCCGGATTTGCTTTCTGCTGTAGAAGACTGATCTACATTCATTCTGATCCTTGAAGGAGTTTGCTTTTACAACTGGAATATGCTTGTGTGTGTGTAACAGATCATGTGTGTTTACATTGACACATCACATCCATTAAAGAATTTGACCTCATGAGAGCCCCACGATCATGAATAATTGTGTCATGTTATGTATTTATTTTTTTATAAATCAAGAGACCTCTGTGTGCTTTTAAAATGTATTAAAAAAATTTTACATTTCAGGATTCCTGTCTATTTGTAGTTGATTTTGTTTCCACCACCTCTGTGGAGCCAGATAAAATATAAATCATTCTGAGGTTGACCTATGAATTTTGTTACTCTGCCCTTGAGGTGTTTGTCTTCTCCAGTATTAGGTTAGGTGGTGCTACACTCTGATCGTGAACTTTAGGACTGGCCTCTGCATTTTGAAATGAGAAGATAGTAGTACCACCTGGCCAAACCACTATGAAACAGCATTTTGAAAGGGTGTGGTGAGCCGCCTTAGCTTGCTGGAAGAGCAGTATAGACACAGCAGCTAGTGGCAGGCCTGCTTAGGTTTGGGTATTTGTATCACAACAGCAGCTTCTGGAATCTCAACGCTACCTCACATTCATTTATGACCTTTCCTCCCTGCTTTGGATAAAAAGAAAAGGATTGATTACTCCTTCAAAGGAACTTTAGCCTAGAAAATTATGCAACTTGAAATCCAAAGCAAGTAAGCTTATTAAGAAAATGTCTGCTTACAACCTCATCAGTCTCTGCCTCCAATTTCAATTAAAAATAATTAAACACCAACCTTATTTTTATTAGAAAGGCTTCAGTGAGATTTCTATTTTCCAAAGAAGAATTGGGATAACTCATTGTTGGTGTAAAACTTAAGACTTTATGGAGAGTACAGATGTGTTGTCCATGCGACCTTGTTCTTTGTAAGTCATTTACTCAGCCCCTGCCTGCATATATTCTCAGAGGTTCTCCATTTTGCACTGGTGATGTCAAAGACAAGTTCAGGAAGTATAGGCAGCACTTAGAGCAGTTTTTCAAAAGATGCTTCTTGAACTATCCACTCACTAAATCAGTTTGGTGGTTATCACAAAAAGTATCAAAAGTGCATCATGAAGTAGAGGGATATTACAAGTATCTTTCTGTAAAATTGTGTGTGCCTGCATGAGTGTGGAGAGGAATGTGTGCGCATCCCACAGTGAATCTCCCACTTGAGAGACTAAGCTCTGGAAGTTAAGTGACTGGGCTCCCTCCCGTAGGACAGTGTATGGAGAAGTTGGAAGTATGGGATAAATGGAACAGGTAAGTCTTTGGGGCCCTCAACCCTCTGTTTTGAACTGTATTTTTTAAAGGTTTCCATATATGATTTTATATGAAGAAAAAAAGTTTTGAAAGGATGCCTGGTTTAAAAAAACAAGCTCTCCAAATAGTGTTCTAATACTCATTCTTGTATACACTTGAAAGTGATTTAACTCCTAGGTAAAAACTCAAACATACAAGCCACTATCAGGCGATAAGAATTCAGCCAAATAGCAATTGTCTTTATTGTGTAGATTGCACATTATTCTTTCTGGCAAGTTTGAGTGGGCTGGAGATAATCATCAACAGAAAAAATCCAAATTGTATGCAGGGTTTTGATACTGGACAAGTTACCCTTGCTGAGCCTCAATTTTCTCATCTGTAAAATGGGCAAATAATGGGTCCTACTTTCATTGGGTTTTTATTAGAGAATGCCACACAAAGTATTTAGCACAGTATGTGATATATATTTAAAAGTTTGATAATTGTCAGTTACTGAACTAAACTGAACAGGCAATTTTCTGGGTCTCCTTAGAACTGTTTGAAGTCATTGAAAAGCTACCATGATGATTTAACATTGCTTGCTCTTTTTTTAGGTAAAAATTTTCATATAATGAAGCTGCAAATTTTAATAACACAATTGGGTAAGTTTTGACAAATGCATGCATCTGTCTAACCCAGACTGTTGCCATCTGATAGTTCCCTCATGCCACATGCATGTCATCTCAGCCGCCAGAACCACCCAGTTTTTTCCAGCATTGTTTTGCCTGTCCTGGAACTTCATAGAAATGGACCATAAAGTGTTTAGGCCTTTGTTTAAAGCCTTGGCAGCACATTCTTTAAATTAACCTGCATCATTACATGTAATGTGATGCTTTTCATGGTTAACTAGTCCTCTGTGAATACACTGGTTTCCATGTTGGGGCTTTGTGAACAATGCTGGTGTCTAGTCTTTAGGTAGAGATTTTCATTTCTCTTGGGTAAAAATCCATGGGAGTGGAATTTCTAGGATAAATACACAGGAGTGTAGGTGACACAGCTTTCTCCGAAGTGTTAGGGTCATTGTACATACATTGTGATGATGGTTCTGCTTGCTTTGTCAACAGTTGGAATTGGTGTTTCTCACCATTTGGATAGGTACATAGTGCTCTCATTGTGGTTTTTTGCAGTTCCCTGATGACTACTTTTCACCTGCTTACTGGTCATTCATATATCCATATTTTTCAGTTGTCAGTTTTTTCATTTTTGAGTTTTATCTTTCATGTGTTCTGCATATAAATCTCTTGTCAGATATATTTTGTGACTGTATTCTCCCAAAATATATTTGCATAAATAAATCTGTAAGTTAATGATCATTTTAATGGTCTTCTGTGTCCTAAGAAACACTGGACGTCTACTGTGTCATGAATATAGTATCATTTTTTCTTTTGACTTTATAATTTTAGATTTTACATCCATGGATCTATAATCCTCTTTGAGTTACTTTTTGTATGGTGTCTGGTTGAAAGCAGATTTGTGTATTCCCATAGAGCTAAGCCATTTTTTGCTATACCATTTGTTGAAAACACTTCTCCTGTTGTATTGCTTTGGTGCTTTTATCAAAAATCAAATGGCTTTTTAAGTGTTAGCCTGATTTATGGACTTTATATTGTTTTATTGATCTGTTTCCCTTGCCAGTACCACATAATTTCTGTTATGGTAAATTGAAATGAGGTAGCATAGCATAAGTCTCCAATTTTGTTCATGATTACATTTCTGAAACATTTTAGAACCGGTTTGTCAATTTCTACCCAAAACTCTGCTGGGTTTATAGTAGAAATCTGTAGATCACTTTGGGAAGAATATTTATCTTAACAATATTCAATTTTCCAGTGAGTATATGAGCAAGGCATGTCTATTTGGGTCTTTTTCACAGCAGTGCTTTATAAAAGTTTTCAGGACATAGGTCTTAGATGTATTTTACTAAACTTACTGTTTCATGTCAATTGTGTTTAACATTGCAAATTGCAGCTGTCCCATGCTGGTATGTAAAAATACTGATTTTTGTACACTGATCTTATATCCTGTGACCCAGCCAAATCCACTTAACAGTTGTAGTCTATTTACTTTTCAGGATTCCCTAAGATCACTGACATAAACCACCATGTATTCTGTTAAGAGTTTTATTTCTCCCTTTCTGGGCCTCCCCGGTGGTGCAGTGGTTGAGCGCTGGGTTGCGAAGCTGCCCGCGGCCTCTGCAGCGCCGGTTCGATCCCCGGCTGCTCCCCGGCCACCGGAGGAGGGTCCCACATGGTGCGCAGACCTCTCCTGCCGCCCGCTGCTCCCCTCAGCAGTGTACTTCGGTCCTTCTGCCTGCTCTGCTCCCCGCTCTGGCTCTGGTGAATTCTCTCACCCTCCCGCGCTTCTGACTGTACCCAGTGCTTGTATAAACAAAACAAACAAATAAATAAATAAAACATGCCTCTATAAAAAAAAAAAAATAAGAGTTTTATTTCTCCCTTTCTAATTGTTTTTAATTTTTATTTCTGCATACAAGAACTGGGGTATAGGCCAGAGATGCCAGGTGGGTGGGGGGAGGATTCACCGGAGACAGAGTAGGGAGCAGAACAGGCAGATCTACCAAAATAGACTGCTGAGGGGAGCAGCAGGTGAGACAGATGTCTGTTGGGCCACCTGTGTTAGCTCCCTGGCTGGGGATCGAACTCATGCCCATGATGGCTGGCGATAGTTTGATAGTGCTGAGACTTTAACCGCTGCACTACCGGGGAGGCCTTCCCTTTCTAATTTTTTTGCCTTTTATTGCTTTTCTTTGTTGCACTAATCTTCTGTGTCCTGTTTTTTGTTGTTGTTTGCATTGAACTGGAGTGCAGGCCAGAGGTGCAGGGGGTGAAAGGGTTCACCAGAGAGTGGGGAGCATCACAGGCTGATTTACTGAAATACACTGCTGAGGGGAGCAGGAGATGTGACAAGAGAGATCTGCTGCACCATATGTGGGTTGCTCCCTGGCCAGGGATTGAGCTCAGTCCATAGCAGTAATAGTGCTGAGACTTAACCCCTAGGCCACAGGGACGCTCTCTTCTGTGTCCTAAAAAAACATTGATTTAATCCTATGTCATGAATATACCTCTAGTATAATGCTGAGTAAAGGCAGTAAGAGTGGACATCTTGGGTCCCCCTGGTGATGCAGGGGTTAAAGTCAGCGCTATCAAGCTATCAGCAGCTACTGCAGCGTGGTTCGATCTGGCCAGGGAGCAACCCACATGGCACAACAGACCAATCCTGTCTCAACCGCTGCTCCCCTCAGCAGTTTCAGTGGATCTGCCTGTTCGGCTCCCCACTCTGTGTCTGGTGAATCCTCTCAAACCTCCCTTCCCGCCACCTCTGGCCTACACCCCAGCTCTTGTATGCATAAATAAAAATGATTCTTTAAAAAAGAAAGTAGACATCTTGCCCTTTGTCCTGACTTAGTAGTCAGTGTTTCACCACTAAATATGGGAATCTATTAGCAGTTCTCACCCCCATCCTCCTTAGATGCCTTTTACCAACTTAAAAATAAGTTCCCTTCTAATCCTGATTTGCTCAGAGATTTTATGGTGGCTTTTTAAAAATTTCTTTTTCTGAATCTACTAAAACCATAACTCTTGATTTTGTTAACATAAATATTTTGACTTTGAAGTAGTAAACCAAGAATTGGTTTAACCCCAACTTGGTCATGATATACATAGTAATCTTTCGATATTGCTGGATTTGACTTGCCTAGTACATTGTTCCTTAACAATACTAACTACCAAATAACTACTTGTGGACCTATGGTCAAACAGAACAATGATCTGTAGTTTCTTGTCTTGTAATATCTTCACCAGGTTTGGATATTAAGGTTACAATGGCCTTGGGGCCTCCCTGGTGGTGCAAGGGGTTAAGCACCACACTATGAAGCAATCCACAGCCTCTGCAGCACGAGTTTAATCCCCAGCCAGCCAGGGAGCCACCCACATGGTGCAGCAGACCTCTCCTATCTCGCCCACTGCTCCCCTCAGCAGTGTACTTCAGTCGATCTGCCTGTTCTGTTCCCTGCTCTGTCTGGTGAATCCTCTCACCCCTTCCCCCCGCATCTCTGGCCTGTACCCCAGCTCTTGTATCACAAATAAATTTAAAAAAAAAAAACAAAAGGTTACAATGGTCTCATGAGCTAAATGGGAAGGTCTCCCATTTTCTAAAAAATTTTTGTCAAGTTGCAGTGAATAGAATTTACCAGTGGAATCATCTAGGTTAAGAAGTTGCTTTAAGGATAGCTTTGACTAACAAACATCCTTAATAGGTCTTATTATACCTCTCCTTGTTTTCACTTCCATTGTGTTGTATTTCAAAGATTTTGTCTATTGTGTCTGTCATAAAATTGATCATCTTTATCTTTTTCATGTCTGTAGACTCAAGCTGCAGTGCTTTTCCTGCTTTCATTCCTGATTGGTGGTTTGTCTCCTTTTGTCCTTTGTCAGTTTAGCTGGGGATTTGTTTTTCTTCCTAGAACTTTTGGCTTTAGAACTACGCTTTCCTGAAAGCATTGTTTTTAGTCGAATCCCACAGATTTCCATTTGTTTTCATTACCTTTCAGGACAAAATATTTTCTATTTCTCTTTTTATTCTTCATTGATTTTAAGTTATTACAAGTGTTTGATTTCCAAATATTAAGAGGTTTTCTAGATACTTAGGTATATTATTTCCAATTCATTCTATTGTGGTCAGAGAAATTCTATAAATTTCAATCTTTCAAGGACTTTTGAGATGCCCGTGTACATGGTCTGTCTTGCCGAATGTACTCTGCGCATTGCAGTGAATGTGTTCTGCACTCCTGTCAGTTAGGTCACGATGGTTGGTATGTCCTTCTACACTTTGTGTCTAGTTCTAGCAATTGCTGAAAGGGGAAATACTAACATTCAATTATGATTTTGGATAATTTTATCTGTTCTTAATGTATTTTCACTATTAGAGACATCTGTGGCTATGTTTTTCTAATGAATTGACCTGTCATTATGAAATGCCCCCTTTTATTCTGGTAATAACACTCCTTGTTGCGATGTGCACTGTACCATATCAGTGCATGGTATTGCTTATGAGAAGTTAAAGTTTCAACTTTTTTTTTTTAAGATTTATTTATTTATACAAGCACTGGTTACAGTCAGAAGTGCAGGAGGGTGAGAGAATTCACCAGAGCATCAGCCAGAACAGGCAGACCGACGAAGTACACTGCTGAGGGGAGCAGCGGGCATGACAGGAGAGGTCTGTGCGCCATGTGGGACCCCTTGCCAGGGGCGGAACCCGGCACTGCCGGCGGCCGGCCGGGGATGGAACCCGGCGGCCGGGGATGGAACCCGGCGGCCGGGGATGGAACCCGGCGGCCGGGGATGGAACCCGGCGGCCGGGGATGGAACCCGGCGGCCGGGGATGGAACCCGGCACTGCCGAGGCTGCAGGCAACGTCGCAGCCTCTGCAGGAGGCCGGGGATCGAACCGGGTGCCGAGGCTGCAGGCAGCTTCGCAGCTCAGCGCTCAACCGCTGCGCCACCGGCAGGCCCGGAAAGTTTCGGCATTTAACTGCCGTTTCAATCTCCACAGGCCCACTCATTAAGGCTGCAACGAGGTGGTGCTGGCACCAACAAGAACCTTGCCTTGAGATTATTCCTCCAGTATAAAGCTACGCTTGGAAATAGGTAAGGGAAAACCAATCATAGTTTCTTTTAAAGTTTTTATTGTGATCTCATTTTTATACCTGAATAACAACTTTCCGCAAAAAAGAATGATACATAATCTCTTTATTTTAAAAAGGATATTATTATACATTGATAGCATCTGTGGGATCACTAATAGCCTTATATAAAAATTCCTCAGTTAAATGCTCCCATTTTTTAGTCCTTGATGCTGATACCAGACCAGCCCTTGTTGCTATTATCACACTGACATGATCTGGCTCAACACTCTGACCTCTCTCAAGAACAAGACACTCCCCCAAAAAACCACCAAGACACTAGGACTTGTTCTGGATTCCGTTGGGCAAGTGCAGCTTGGGATACTCAATAGGCTGGGCCTCAATTTATAAAGCTTCCTATCTTTTTCTAGATTATGAGAGCTAGATTACTGATCCACAATTTATAGTGGCATTGGGTGCTGACATGCCCAACAGCCTGAGAGCCACCTCCATAAGGAAAAGGCTTCATCACAACAGGGCTCCTGAGTAGAGGTCTGTCTCAGCCTTTCTTTCCACAAAGGAAGGGGTTAGGGAGCCAGGAGATAAGTTCTCTCAGCCACCTAGTGCCTTGTTCTCAATTCTAAGAGGCCCTCTCATCTAAGAGGACTATCGTCTCTCTACTCCCAGCTGGCAGGGTCATGTGGGGCTGCACGGGCCTCGAGCTCCCCGTGATCATCACACTCACCCTTTGTTCTGAGTTTTGACTCTCGCACCCAGGGAACCTGCTGGCTTGCACGCTTGCCTATGCCAGGTGATCTTTCTTAACCTGCTAAATCCTTACCAAAAAAAAACAAAAAATAAAAAACGCTACTTTGAGGTCATCCTACTCCTGTTTTTCTCTTATTTGTGCTGATGAGTCATTTGGATGTGCTTCCACAGTGGGCTCCGGCTCCAGAGGAAGGGAGGGTGGCTTTGTGAGCTGGGATGGGCCTCCAGCACCTAGTGACAAAGGAAATAGCTTGAATTCTCAATTCCATAATTCCAGAAGAAATCATTATTTTCATTATTAAATTTCAAGAAGAAACCCCATATTTTCTGGGATGACTGGAACTGTAGTCTATCTGCAGCTATGAAGGTCAGTCAGAACTAAGGAAATAAAGTGCTGACATATCTCATGCCTACTTAAGGCAAGAAAATTACAGAAAGCAAGACTACGGAACAGAATGTATTTTTAAACTTAAATTGTAAGAACTAGTGTACTGACATCAACTAAGCCTTCCAGCAGCTATTACACAACTTGCCTTAAGAAAACAAATGCCACCTTGGTGACCTTGTGCCTTATCCCCTCTCTAGCCAGCACTATATTGGGCAGATTCTGAGTCAGAAAGTGCAAGCCATTTTCCAAGCTGTGTTCTGCTGGCATGGTGGCTCACACCCCTGAGTCTTCATGGAGCTACATGTGGTCACCTACCTGAGGGAAGCTTCCTGTATGCAGCTGCTGAAGACATTGCCCGTCCCAGTGCCTGATTAGAGCCCAGAGGCTGCTGGAAGCCACCAGGTTTGCTCGTTGAAGTGGTCCGGTGCTTTGATTTGGGATCTTTCACTGGTTTAGTCCAAACCAGTGCCTCCCCAACCTGAAGAGCAGCTCCCAACTTCTGGGCCATCTCTACCATCTTATGCCCACATGGAAAGAAAAAGAATCATGTGTAACTAGTAGAGAAAAGCCCCTTCCTAGGCCTTCCACTGTGGTGAGGGTGGTAGAGGTCAGCTGAAGTAGTGTCTGCTGGTTCTAGCATTTCAAGGAAATCATTCTCAAACAGCAAAGAACACAGATTAGTGGATGGCAAGGGAGGTCATATGTGATCTCAAAACCCAACAACTCAAGGTTGGTACAGTATTGGACTAAAATGCTTTTCCTGCTTGAAAGTGGAAACTACAGAGACCTCAATTCAGATGACTTGCATTAGCAATAACAGCTAATTCAGTAAGCCTAAATTTCCTCTGATTTCTTATTTCCTTCTAAGGAAGCTTTTTCTCAGACATTTACTAATTAGAGAATGCACAAGCCTATGCCATACTTGGGCTATATGGGCTTAATTCAAAAAGTCCGTTAGCAACTTGCTAATAACTCCTGGGAGCTAAAAGGCGGCATACCTCAGAGTCAAACTCCAGAGAGCTGCTGTCCTTGAGCAGGTTGACTTTCTTCTCCATCTCCTGATACTGGATCAGGGCGCCCCTCTTCTCGCCCTGTTTGTACAGCAGCACAGCATAGTTCAGATTTACTAAAGGGTTACACCTGTGGCAAATAGACAGGGATTCTATGGGGTGGGGCTTAGAAACAAACAGTCACATAGAGATCCTTCTCATTGCACAACAACAAAACTGGCCAAGTAGAGATTTTTCTATTCAACAGCGATGTGGGACCACACATGCTGTGGACCCGTGGAGAAGAATCAAGGAATGAATTGCCCAACCAGCAAAGCAGGTATTGGGACCAAGTGTGACATCTCAGCCCTCAAAATAAACCAGGGCAGAGCTGAAAAGGGAAATCCCTACCTTGCTGCCTAGCAGATGGCAGCAGAATAAATTCTGGAGAGTCCAGTTTTATCTTAAACAGACGAAGCCCAGAGTCCCATCTGATAGTCCAACTAGCCCGTAAAATCTATCAGCAACCCAAGTGCTTTCTACGGCCGCCTGCTACAGTTGGGGCTGGAAACATTTTCTCAGTGAGTGACAGTTCTGCTGAGCAACTGTGTGCTTAGGAGCCACACGTCCTTCCACACTTAGGCCTTCTGTGGACAGAGGCCACAGAGAGCAAGCAGCTGGGCGGACTCAGACGGCGCCAGTGCTCTTGCGCCACCTTGTGGCTTTGGAGAGTCCAGCCCTGCCCAGTACTGTTCCCCCCAGAGCAGCTTACTTATCCAGGCGTGCTGCTTCCGCGTAGGCTCTCTTGGCATTCTCTGTATCTTCCAGGTTGGTCAGAGCCACTGCAACAAAGAAAATGAGCACTGCAACTGGAGGGCCCAACTTACAGAACTGAGGCAATGTTTTGAGACCACAGTGCATTCAGGCCCTTTGCCCTGATGGCAGCTCCTGGCACTGCCATCTACTCATTCAGCTTAGACACTCGGTGTCATCAACACTGAAGTTCTATGAGTCCATTTTTCTGCATTTTCTGACACCACCTTTGTTCAGGGCTCCAGTTGTTTAAGTGTTTGAGCTTTCCCCTGTGGCAACGTCACCCCTGCCTTCATCCACTTGCCACCATGCTGACATACTCACCGACTGGCCAACAAATCTCACCATGTCACTGTCCTAGTTAAAATTCCTCACTGCTTCTCCATCATCCATAACCATGATCATTAAACTTCTATTTAGCAACAGAACACACCCCTTTTAATCAATATTTTTTGGAAGCCCGATCTATTTAAGAAACAAAACTATTTTGGAAACCCTGTCCACTCCACCTCCCCTCTGACAGCCACTCACTTCTGCCAGACATGATAGATCTAGGAATTCAATTCGAAAAACACAGCCTTTGGGATAGTCTAGAGTCCTTTATCATACCCTCACCCCCCAAAAAAATCTGGCCCCAAACTACTATGTCCTGACTGCTCTCCTTATTACATTCTAGAACACTGCTGCCCAATAACTACAGGGTACTTCATGCAATTTCATGGCTTCAGGCCTTTGTTCACTGGCTCCCTGGCCATTTCTACTTGAAGTTATTCATACCATAAGGCATAAGCAGCAGTTCTATTTGTTTATATTCTCTACCCACATTAAAATTCGGCTATCTCTGCATTCTTGCAACCCTCAAATGACACCCATTCAATTTCCTTTTGCAACCTTTGTGTTATAAGAACCCCACAATAATATAACCAAAAAACCCTACCTGAAAACCACTGTCAATGAGAACATGAAAACTGTTTGGGGGCTTACATTGAACAGTACTTTTATAGAATAGCCAGTAATAGAACACTTACATAATAAAACAAAGCCAAAGTTTTATCAACTCAATGAGATTCAGCTAGTAGAGGCAGGACATACCTAAAAGCCCAAGCTCTTAACACTCAACAAGCAGTTGGACTCAATGTACAGTTTTCAAACCAAGGGAAAACAATTGGCAAAAGATGATCTAGGGATGATCTGGATTTAATCTGTTGGTCTCTGAAATTTGCCATAGGTTAGATGCAACCAAGTGCTTTGTCATCTTTTTCATATTTCTTCAAGCACTAGTACAGTAATCCAGATTCCTCGGGGATCTGCATGGAAATGTTTTCTATAGGACGTTTCACCACTGGCCACCTATGATTCTAATTTATTCTCCCCTCATAGACTGCGGGGGGAGTTCTCCACAGAAATGTCTCTTACCTGCCAACAGCATGTAGAGCTCCCCCATCTTTGGTTGGAAGTTGATGGCTGCACTGAGGAAATGGAAAGCTGATGCATACTGCTGCATGGTCAAGTGGACAAGGCCCAAGTTGTACAGAATCTTCCAGTCGAAGGGTGCCAAATAGTTGGCTCGTTTTAGGCAGCTGATAGCCTACAGGAGAGGGGCACTCGATGAGAGGTTGGGGCAAGTGCAGAGACCCGGTAACTGCATGTATCAAGGCAAACAAGGAGACACTCACTGCTACATATTTCTTCTTGCCAAAGAAACACATTCCAATATTATTCCAGAGTGGAGGACTTTCTGGAACAGCACAGGCTACCACTTTGTATTTGGTGAGAGCAACATCAAAGTCCCCGTGCGTCTGCATCATGCTGCCTGCTGCCAAGATCGCCTGAAAGGTAGGTCATGAAAGTCATTCAGTCATTCCCATAAGGCTGTAGCACTGAAGTCGCCTTCCTGAGTGTAGCTATTCAGCAGGCCTCTCAGCACAGATGGGACTCAAAAGCTTCTTCCAGGGACATACTATATTCAAGCTATTGGGATAAGTGTCCATGAGGAATGGACACCCCGCCCCCCGCCCACCCCCCACCCCCCCCCACAATGTGGCTTATCTTTAGTTCAAGACAGAGAAAAGATAAAATGTCACTGATTTAATCCAGGCTCATGTGTTTCCTACTCTGGGGAGTAAAGAGTTCAGAATATCAGGGCCCTGTAAGTAAAAACTGCCTGTTCCCTGTGGCCCCTATTTGGTACACCAGGTGCTCCAGACAACTCAGTTACAGTGAAGATGAGCGCGCCTGCCACAGGACAGAGGGTGGGTCAGCTCTAGGCTGCCTCAGTCCAGCCCCTTCCTTTCTCTCAGAAAGATGTCCACGGGGATGGATGAGTTGGGTGCACAAGACTTCCAGTAGAACTGGGTCTGCAGCCTTCAATAAACGGCCCTTTGGGCCTCCCTGGTGGCACAGCGGTTGAGCGCCACGCTGCGAAGCTGTCCTCTGCAGCGCCGGTTCGATTCCCCGCCGGCCAGGGAGAACCCCACATAGCGCAGCAGACCTCTCCAGCCTCGCCCACTGCTCCCCTCAGCAGTGTCTTCAGTCCGCCTGCCTGCTCTGCTCCCTGCTCTGGCTCTGGTGAATTCTCTCACCCTCCCGCGCTTCTGACCTGTACCCCAGTTCTTGTATAAAATAAATCTTTAAAAAAAACAAAAAACAAAAAATGGCCCTTTGCTGCATCTCCCTCAGTGATACTCATCCACTTGATGAGCTTCTCATCCCCATAGTCAAATCTGCACAAGGGCTGTAACCTTGGAGTCATTCGTTCATTAGAAGTCATTTCACCACAATTATTTTTGACATAGAGGCTTTGCTAATTTCCTAAACACAAACTTCACCAGCACTGCAATTTTATTTTCTGTGTTCTTTACAGTTCTAACAAATGTGCTCTTCTAGAAAATCAGTAGAGCACCAACACTTTACAATATTTTCAAACAACAAGAACCACTTTTATTTATAATTTAGCTAAGACAGGGGTAATTTCTCAGATATTCGAAATACTGTACTCTCTGGGCCTAGCTCACCTAAGCAGCAGTGGGACTGTATGTGAAGGCGCTGGGGTTTGGCAGCTGCAGTACCTTATAGTTGGTAGGGTCATAAGTCAGTGCATTTCCAAGATGTTCAAATGCCTTCTGGTAAATGCCAAGCTTGGAGAAAAAGCAAACCAGAGAATTTACATTAGTGGGGGGATGGCAGTTAAGGAGTCTGCCACCCACACCCTGGACAGAAACAACCTGACTTTTCTGAGTTCTCTTGGGGAGAAAAAAAGGCTGCAGTTACCAGAGAAGAGAGTTAAAATCCCCACCTTGGTGCCCCCCACCCCCATTTTGTTGATTTGTCCCCGATAAGGTCAAAGTATGTATTTGCCAGGAACCATCTCTGCTACGCTCGTGCTAATGCCTCTTGGCAGGCAATGAGCTGGTTCGCCTCATTTCCCCTGAGGCCAGCCTCTCAAGCCAGTGCCCAGGAAGCGCCAGAGTTAAGCTCCTGATTCCTTTTAAAGAAAAATGAAACCAACAAAAAGGCTACCAGAGTCAGAACTGGAGGCAGGGTGAGTTGAGCCGGAATCTTGGGGAAAGGGTGGAGGGCTGGGCACGGAGGGGTTCCTCAGAGATCCCGGGGTCTCAGGCTGATACAGAAAATCAGTAGAGCACCAGTTCTCAGGCTGATACAGAAAAGAGATGGTGCTAAAAAGAATCCCATTGACAGTCAGGAGTGTGCAGGGGAGAGGAGGTGTCTTACTTTACACGACTCGTTGCCTTCACTTTCCTATAGCACATGGCCGGGAAGGAGCAACAGAAATGACCTTTACCCCAGAGCACCTGGTAGTACTAACTTGTTTCAGGTTTCTCTCCCCATTAGACAATTATTTCTCATAACTGCTCTTTCATTGGTTGATAAAAATTACGATTGCATTAAGCTCCAACAGATTTATCTGCTTCTGATTTGAATGGAAAAGATTAAGTTCAATCCTTTAGCAAATGCAGAGAGTAAGGTTATGTGCGTCCTATGACCTTTAGTAAAACGTGTTAAAGTCCAGTCAAAATGCTGGGAAACCACAATACACACGACTCCAAAAGCATCTCTAACATCAAAGCACGAATGAGCAGAGTTCTCATTACCTGTAAGTAGAGTAATCCTAACGTCGTAAGCAGCTCTGTATTTTCTGGGGAGAACCTGCAACAGAGAGGTCACACGGACGTGCTCACAGGGACTGTGGCGTGTATGAGATGCGAGAGCCTGCAGAGTAGCGGGCCCCCTCCCCACGGAAGACCTGAAGCTGACTCGGGAATTCCCTTCACAAGTAGGTCATCTCAACCCTGGCGACAGGAAGGGGTTGCTCAAAAAGAAAGAAATGGAACTTATAATCCAGATTTCCTTCTCACAAATTTTTTAAATCAAATCAGCCCCAAAAATGCATGGTCTTAGCCAGCTCCCTCTTGTGGGATTATATTTTTCTGTTCTCACTGTATTCATAATGCCAACAAGCATAATTTATGGTTTAATTCAGGATCGCGAGACCTTGATGCTCTGTTTCATGTTAAACAGCCAAACTAAACATAAAAAGGGAGACATATATCAACTCCAGGAAAGACTTAGCCGTGGGCTTTAAAACAGGGTTTTAAATAAAAGATTATCTGCTTTCCCATTCTCTGATATTTGTCTTTGTCACAAAATCAAAGCAACACTGAGCTGCTGTGAACACTGAACTGACAGGACTGTCACATGATTTCAACAGTGAAAATGCCAGAAGGCAAGAACAATGTCCCGCTTCTAAGGGATGAGGTGGGGCTGGGTACCGACGGGAGGCCTGAGCTAGCCAGAAGCTTACTCAGTTCAACTGAGTATCTGCCTTCTACATTCTGCCATGGTAAGTACCCATCTGATCACCTTCCTCCCCCAAACCAAGAAAGGAAATGCCATGATCCTGTTGGCTTCCATCCCACCAAAATATGACCATTCTCTCCCAAATTAGGTCATGAACAATGGTCTCTACATTCTCAGTGAGGCTCCTGATGCCCAGCTGTGTCCTTTTCTCCCTCAGAATTCTAGTGACAAGTCCTTGACTAGTCACTGCAAACTCGTCACCGTTGGACCTCCCGGTGGCCTAGGCGTTAAGTCTCAGCACTATCTCCGCTACAGCCGGATTTCAATCCCCAGCCAGGGAGCTGACCCACATGGCGCAGTAGACCTCTCCTGTCTCACCTGCTGCTCCCCTCAGCAGTGTTGTTTTCAGTAGATCTGCCTGTTCTGCTCCCCACTCTGTCACTGGTGAATAATCCTATCACCACTATCCCCACACCTATGGCCTATACCCCAGTTATTCTATGCATAAATAAATAAATCTTAAAATAAAAAAAGAAGTCCCCCTTGAGATTTGTGTGTGCTGATCTCAGAGCCAATTCTAGAAGGGAGGGATCAGGTTTCTATCTCGCACCACAGAGGCTTAGTATATGCTACCTGGGCTCCTTCCTACTTGTCCATATAAACATAGCCCCTTTTTCACAAAAGTCTCTTGTAGCTTAACAAACCAAAGGATTTTTTTATGTCTTTTTGGACATAAAATATGGTTGAAAATTCAGAAAGAGTGCTGTGCTTGATAGTACCGGGAAGTTACTACACTATGCCAGAAGACACAGGTGACAGAAATCTAACTTCAGTATCTAGTTATCAGGTATAATATATTCAGTGGCCTTGAATCATAGACCAGGCATTCTATTAAGTGACTAAATGAGACACTACAGCATTTTGCTACAAAGAACAAGACAAAATCCTAGGGCCTCCCTGGTGGCGCAAGGGGTTAAGGCAATATATAAAGCTGTCTGCAGCCTCTGCAGCACGAGTTTGATCCCCGGCTGGCCAGGGAGCTACCCACATGGCACAGCAGACCTCTCCTGTCTCGCCCGCTGTTCCCCTCAGCAGTGTACTTCAGTCATTCTGCCTGTTCTGCTCCCCACTCTGTCTATGGTGCATTCTCTCACCCCCCACACCTCTGGCCTGTACCCCAGCTCTTATATGCATAAATAAATCTTTAAAAAAAAATAAGAGACAAGATCCTATACAGAAGACAAAAGAGAGCATGTGTCCCTAGAGAGAAAACATGAACCATCACCCTGGGAGAGTGAATCAGTTCCATTAACACAAGTCTGGCCTATCCTGATGTTTTAGAAACAGCTTGTATCATACTTATAAGGCCAGATGTTCATTACTGAATCAGGAGATTTCTGTCCCTAACATCTTTGGAAACACGAGATCTGTTATAAAAAACACAATGGCAGGCTGCCAGCTGTCCAAAACCTGTTCCCTCCCTCCTGAGCGCAGCTAGGTCTGGCCCCTTCACTCACTCTAAACCATGGAACGTGAGCAGGATCAATGTCTACAACTCTAAAGTCAATCAAAATTTACTAAGAGCCACTTATTCAGTATTCAACTTCCTAGACCACCTCTCCCAGGATCGCCTAGAACAGTCTGTGCTACTGTAAGATAGCAGCAGACATGCAGGTGAAGACAACAATGTAAGGAATGGTGCATCAGCAGGGAAGGAACCTGGATCCCTGTTTGACCTTGCGGAGCAGACTGTCCAGCTAGGCTGGCCAACCATACTAATGGGTGAGAAAGAAACACTGACTAGCAATCAAACATATTCTCTCTCACCTTGGGTGTCCATATGTAGACTCCTGTTTTGGGGTTTTTTAAGTTTCTCACTGCTCTAAAGGAAACAAACACACTTACTCCACTGCTTTCTTGTAGATTTCGATGGCCTTGTTCAAGTCTCCCTCCAGCAAGTAGATCTTCCCCAGCATTATGTAAGTCAGGTCATGCTTGTTGAGATGTAGAGCATTGTGCAGCTGGTCTTGTGCCTAACAAGAATGACAGAATAAAGAGAACCAAGTCACTACCATGGAAGGACAATGGCTTTGTATGAGCCAATATAAAGACAGAGCTGGGAACATCTCTTTACAGCAAATAACCCCCACTGCTCAAAATACCAACTGTGTTTGCTGGCAGCATAGGGTGTCTGCTTCTGAAGCCACTTCAGAGAGTTTATACAAGAGGATTAACCTTTTTGAGTGTTTTCTAGTACTTGACATTCACACCCATGACTCATGCTTCATTAGTCAAAGGGACATCCTAGTCCAGTACAGAGCACTGCCCCAAACTCAATCCCAGCTACACCACCGGCCAACTGTATAACAGACCCCATTTTGCTCACCAACATTTTGAGAAGTGAATGGATTGTTTCATTTATGCACTCAATAAAAATCGAGTATCTCTTGTTCTAGATGCTGGGTATACCGGAACAATAAACTCCTTGCTCTAAGAAAGCTTCTATCCTAGTATATGGTCAAATGAAGAGCTTCATTTAGTCGTTCACTCATTCAACAATTATTTTCATAAATGCCAAGTATTATATTTGCATAGCCTGTCAGCTTTACAATAAAATCTAAATATGGTTCTCCTCAATATAGGTCTGATCAAAAACTAAGTCCACCTTTCCATTGGCTCAGAATAATCCTGTGGAAGAAATATACTTATTTGGAATATCCTTTGAAGAGAAAAATCTTCTAAGTCTGTAACAGGATACATCTCCTAGAAAACTTAAGGGACCTACCAAAAGTATTTATTTACATGTATTATTTATTATTTTAGTTATTACCTTTATACCTCAACTGCTGATATACAGGTTTTTTTTTATAGTCCTGAGGGACAGATTAGGTTGCTTTAGTAGTTTGCAAATTGTTACAAATTAAACATTGTCATAGGGTATTAACCAATTCAGATTCTCAGGCCTGTTAGCATTTGAGAAAGGAGAATAAAACTAAACAATCACTAAATGGGAGCTTTATTACCTTTATTTGGGTCTACCCAAACCCACTATCATTAACTTTCAGAGAAGAGATAATTTAATGTGTCCTCCAGTTAAGATATATGTTTTTTCTTTATCTCAAGTACCATAGTAGCTCAGATGTTTTCTGATAGAAGAGCTTTAGAGGCTGCCTACATCTTAATCACAATGAAACATAAATTCTCATCATAAAAAATAAGTCTAAAAACAAACTCCAAAATTAAATCCACTTAAAACTCATTTCCAATGACCTTAAAAACTAAAGTTAGCTGCCATCAGGGCCAGACAGTTCATATGGTCACAACTGCACTTTTAAAAGGTCTACTTTTTTATATCTAAGTTTTAAACATCTGTCTCCACATTGTAAAAATTAACCTAGGAGTGGAGTAAAGAAGAGCAATTAAGCTTTCCATTCCCTCATAGTATTTCTCGAATTTTTAATTATTAAAATCAGGAAAAATAAGGATAATGACCAATGAGAGTTAAAATGGGAATGTCTATAATACTTTGTTTTCAAAAAATAAATCCAATATATTTATTGTGGTCAACGCTTCTTTCATCGCGAACACAGCCTTCCAAATCAAAATATCTTTGTAGTCAGCAGCAGCTGACACTGTCAACAGCAATATGGCACTTTCCTTTTTACTTTCAAATATCTCTGCAGAATTAGAAACAACACAGAATGAACAGTGGTACCGCTATAATAACAAGTGTACCTTCAGAAATCCCTGGTCAATTGCTCAAGCTCCACCACCATTTCTATAAATTACCTTATTGAACTGTTTCAGATAAATGTAGCAAACTCCTAGGTTATGACAGATTTCCTGCACACAAAAGAAAGCAAACAGGTCTTAAGAATAAAACAAGAATTTTGCTCAGTCAAGTTTAATCTTTAAAACATGCACAACAATGTTTGACTGGATTCATATTCAAATACATTTAATTTTGCAGAATGGGTCCCTTAATATAAAATACAGATTATGAGAGAAGAAAGCAGAATAAACCAATGATAAAAAGCTTTATCAGAATAAACCAGACTGTGTGGTACTTTGGGATACAGACCAAGCCATTCCCATGCCCTTTTTCTCAGTGCTGTCCACTGCCCATGCCCTTTGTGCCTTCTCAGACAAGAATGCCCACATCCCCTGCTGGGAGGGCTGCTAGCCACACAGCTCCACCATTAAGATAAAATGAGGCTCTTCCCTAGGAATTTGGGACTGGAGCAGAGCTAGCTAGCCGCAAGCATGAAATTCACCAGGTGATGTGGACGTAGGGACTGAGAGCTCCATCTGGAGGCCACCGTGATGGATCTTTGTAACTGGAGCGAGCCTGAAGACATCTACAGCAGAGGAAGCACACTATGGCCCAGAGACCAAATCTATCCCCTACCTTTTTTGAAAATAAAACTTTCTTGGACCACAGCCACAACCACTTGTTTATGAACTATGGCTCTTTCACACAGCAACTGCAGTTAAGTAGCTGCAACAGAGATGTATGAAGCTGCAAAGCTTAAAATATTTACTAATGGCCTTTTACAAAAAATATTTGCCAACATCTGATCTATGGATTCTGATCTCTATTCAGAAATTCAATATAGGAATGCAGAATAGCTACCTTGTCTGCTGATAGCTTTCTAGTTCCCTGCAAGACCAACCTGTCTTTCCTTGACTTGAATTCTACTGAATCTTTCAAATTCCCTTACATTAAATGTCCCTTCATTTAGAAACAGGAGAAAGCAAGGGTAAGGAAACTGATGTTGGGAAAAGTAAAATCATTTTGATAGTTGTGGGGAGGTGTGGAAGCACATTCAGATTCAGATGTATTCAGACCCTGTCTGAAGAAACAGGGACCCCAGGGCTCAGAGACAAGTGACGCCATATTTTCTGAGTCTCCTCAAATAACAACTAAATAGCAATCATTTATTAAATACTGACTTCACACCAGGTTCTGTGCCAGATCTTTTTCATATCTATTACTGTAATTTTCCCAGCAAATCTGCAATATAGGTATAACAATATAATAAAACCTCTCTCCCTCAGAAAGTTTAGTTTGTGTGACTTAAAGCAAAACTGTCAACCTAGAGGTTTTTGTTCCTTTCATTTTAGTTCCTAAGAATTTCAAACATGTATAAATGTAGACAGAATCACCATTCACTCATCATCTGTTGCATCAGGCAACAAGACATGGAAGTCATGGAGCAGGCTGCACAAGGCAGGATGATGCTGAGAGCAAGATCCTGGCCGTTTTTACTGATAGAATAATAGAGCATCAGCTACATGCATTAGGAGGACAAGGAGAAAAGGTTGGGTGAAACTCAGGAATGTCATCTAGGTCTTGGAGGGACATGAGTCTGCCGACCATGTTATCAGCTTGATGACCAAGTGTTGTAATCAAAACTAGACCCCGGTCCTAATCTTATCAACAAGGCATTCCACTGATCAGCTTCTGGGGTCCCTTGTCATACATCAGTCCTCGGCCCCCTGGGTGTTCCTGGTCATACCTCATGATGTATGATTCGGGAGTAAGTTTATGCATCCGTCCTCAGTCCCCCAGGGCATTCTCGATCATACCTCTTGATGCATACCCTTCCCAGAGTGATCAAGCTTTCTGCTCTTGATTGATATGAAAGGCACCTTGTAAGGTTTGGCTCACATGATTGTGACTGGACAGTTCTGACCTTTGTATAGGAATGCAGAACTGCAGGTAACCATAATGGTGGCTGAACAGGCCGCTTAAGTCAAGCAGCCACTTAAGTCTAGCAGACCCACAATCATCCTGTCACAGAAACCATCCAACCCATACCCCCAACCTATCCCACTACGTTCGTAAGCAAATACCAGATAGCATAACATTTCATCCACAAATATTCAGTATGTGTACTAGGATAGGTTCTTTTTATTTAGCCTGCCTATAACATCATTACCATACCTGAAAAACTAACAGCTTAGTATCAGGTATTGAATTGTGCAAATTTTACAGTCTCATAAGTGTCCCACGTTAAAAAATATATTTTTCTCTTAAATCAGGATCCAATCATGTCCATACATTGCAAAGCACTTAGGATCTGAACTCAGGGCTGCCTCCAAAATTTGTGTGCTTCCACTTCATCATGCTGTAAGTATGTAAACCTAGAGATACAAAGGGGAGAGATGTAGCCCTACTTGTGCTTTAAGTGTGCTAAAAGCTAACCACAAACTTTTGATATCATCTGTCATATGTATTACTTGAGATGGCAGCAGTAATATGCCTTAAACAGACTGACAGCAAAAGAAATTTTAAAAGGAAAAGAGAATAAACCAGAATTAAATCCTGTCTTTCGTGGGGTGAGGGAATCCAGCAGAAGTCTGCAGGTAGCAGGTACAGTGGAAAGGTCACAGATGTGAAGTGAGGAATTCTTTTTTTTTTTTTTTTTTTTTTTTTTTTTAAAGATTTATTTATTTATACAAGCACTGGGTACAGCCAGAAGCAAGGGAGGGTGAGAGAATTCACCAGAGCCAGAGCGGGGAACAGAACAGGCAGACCGACGAAGTACACTGCTGAGGGGAGCAGCGGGCGGCAGGAGAGGTCTGCGCGCCATACGGACCCTCCTCTGGTGGCCGGGGAGCAGCCGGGGATCGAACCGGCGCTGCATAGGCTGCGGGCAGCTTCGCAACCCAGTTCTCAACCGCTGCGCCACCGGGGAGGCCCTGAAGTGAGGAATTCTAACTCTGGTTCTGCCACTACCTCACTGTGCGCCCATCAGTAAGTCAGCCCATTGCCTCCATCTGTTAATGGGGGAAATATTCCAAAAGTCAAATGAGAGAACGGCAGGAGGAATTATTCCCATTGTAGTCAGACTGGAATATCCTGATGATCCAAAACAAGTGGGCCTGAGGTTTTCTACAGGCCACAGCATGTAGGGCGCAGAGTGTCTTGGCTTTTTGGGAGAACGAAAAGTATAAAATGTGTAGGACATAAAATGTCTGGCTGTTTGGGAATAACCACGTCTACTGGCACCAATGGGATGTATCCCAAGGGAGTCAGTAATACCAAGTGAACTCTTTCAACCACTTGATGGTGAACAGACACTATTCATTCCCCCTGTGACTCTGAGCTCTCTTACTTACTTCCTATCTCCCTCTATGGGATCTTCTTCAATTTAGCCTTTCAGAACTATTTTCTCCAAGGTTCCATCCTCAGCCCATTACAAGTGATTTCATCCAAGTTCATGGCTTTAATTATCTTCTTGATGTGGTTGACTACAAAATGCATCTAACCCAGAATATTTCAATTTTGGATTTCTATATCTAGCCACACGTTGGACACATCTCATATGATTTTAACTTTTGGCAGGATAGCTCAACTGAAATATCCTGCCAGAAGTTAAAATCATGTCTGTCATCTTCTGAAAAACAAGATTTAACTTTGATTTGTTATCATTGCCCGACTTCCAAAACATGCTTCTCTTTCTTCTTGTATTTCCTATTCTAATTGTCCCATAACCCACCAGTTCATCTCTGCATTTCCAGGGCACAGCCCAGTGCCTGGCACATAGCAAACATTCATTTGTTAAAAGAATGACTAAATGAATAAAGAGTAAATGAAGTTTCTTTTATCTGTAGTTTCACTTTGATTCTCAGCTATAAAATATTCAACAGCATAAAGACTTACATCTCAAATTTCAGACCTACAGAAAAAGTTGCCTTACAAAATGAATCCAAGTCAAAAATAATAGGGCCGTAAGAACTGTGGAGGAAACCCATGCTAGCGCTCTGTACTAATCAATCTAATCCTTCACTTACAGTTACGTCTCTCCAAGAATCATCAGACATTTAACCAAAAAAGGGGGAAAAAAAACAGCATCAAAAAGAAAAGAGGAAGAAAGTGATAATTCTTGGAAGCAGAAGAGAACTTCAAGAGTCAGATATGGCGCCTCCCCAGTGGCGCAGCAGGTTGAGCGCCACGCTGTGAAGCTGTCTGCAGCCTCTGCAGTGTGGGTTCGAGTCCTGGCCGGCCAGCGAGAAACCCACATGGCACGGCAGACCTCTCCTGCCTCACCTGCTGCTCCCCTCAGCAATGTCTTTGGTCCATCTGCCTGTTCTGCTCCCCACTCTGTCTCTGGTGAATTCTCTCACCCTCCCACACCTCTGACTGTACCCCAGCTCTTGTATAAATAAATAAATCTTAAAAAAAAAAAAAGTCAGATATGGAGAGGCTATTGCAAGAAGAAAAAAGACCAACTTCTTACAGAAATTAAATATATAATTACTGAAATTAGAAATACCGACTATGGATAGGTTAGATAACTGGATGGGAACTGTATAACAAAAATGATGATCTGGAAAATAAGACTGAGAAAGTGTGCCTGAATGTATATTAAAAAGACTATAGGGCCTTCCTGGTGGCACAAGGGGTTAAGATGCAACCTATCAAGCAATCCACAGCCACTAAAGCACGAGTTCGATCCCCAGCCAGAGAGATACATGGCTCAGCAGACCTCTCCTGACTTGCCTGCTGCTCCCCTCAGCAGTGTATTTCAGTCAGTTTGCCTGTTCTGCTCCCCACTGTCTCTGGTGAATCCTCTCACAACCCCCCCACTACTCTGGCCTGTACCCCAGTTCTTATATTCATAAATAAATCTTCAAAAAATAAAAACACAAACTATGAGGCTATCCGCAGCCAATGCAGCATGAGTTCGATCCCCGGCCAGGGAGGTGACCCACATGGTGCAGTAGATCTCTCCTGACTCGCCTGCTGTGTATTTCAGTCCATCTGCCTGTTCTGTTCCCCACTCTGTATCTGGTGAATCCTCTCACCCCCAGCACCTCTAGCCTGTACCCCGGTTCTTTTGTGCATAAATAAATAAATCTTAAAAAAAAAAAAAGATAGTCATACAATAAATGGAATCAACAGCATGTTTCCTACTTACCCAATCTTTCTGATTAAGTTTAGCTGCTTCATTATATACTTCAGTAGCAGCTTTATGTTTTCCCAAAAGAAATCTGAAGAAGAGACATATATAATTTCTGTAATTATTAGCTCAAAGCTTTACATGACTAACCCCAATAACCCTACAGTTGGCTCATACTCCAGCAAGCAGAGAATTCTGGGAAGTCCCTATTCTAAGAGCTAGTTATGCTGTTTGGCCAGTGTGGTGGTTATGTCCCAAAAGCAGAAGGTCCCAATAGCACTGGAAGTTGTCCAGGTTCTTGGTCCAATTCCACACTAATTTTATTTTATTTTTTTTATTTTTTATTTTTTTTTGTGGGACCCTCGCCGGCAGCCGGGGAACGAACTGGCACTGCAGAGGCTGTGGGCAGCCTCGCAGCCCAGTGCTCAACCGCTGCGCCACCAGGGGAGGCCCATTCCACACTAATTTTAATGAAATACTTCCATAATTTATTTTCTACAATGTACAAATATAAGCCAAAAAAGAAATAAGCCAAATCATAAACAGTTAAGCAAGAGTTACCATCATTTATCCTTATCATCTTTTAAGGACAAGCCCTTCTTTTTCAAGACTGTCTCTTTCCTTAAAACTGGATCATGATTCTGGAGAGACCGGAAAACTCGGCTCTAAGCAAAGACAATGCAGGTATGAATGACAATGCAGGTGAGACCATGGAGATGGGAACTCACCATGTAACACTTTACCTCCCTGGAAAAGAAGTGTACCTAATAGCGTATAAAGACTTTGGGAGCTGGTTACATGTAGGAACCTACAGGGCATTTCACTCAACAAACACTAAAAACCCACTACGTGTTAAGTATTATGTAAGTGTTGAAACAGCAGATGAGAAAAACTCGGTGTGTTGCCAACAATATTAGGAGACTGAGTGCATAATTGTCACTATTTATATGATTAACATGATCAGTGTTCCCCATTCAAAGTAGAAGACAGTGTTTGAAATACCCAGTTCCTTTACACTAGTCATCTCATTTTCTCAAGTTTCAGAATTAATCTGTACTCTCCAAAGTGAATCCCACTATACCTATTCAGCAGCTCTCTCGCTCTCTCTATGAATCCGGCTGCTCTGCTGCCAGAAAGTCTCAGCCTGAAAATGCACTTTACATAGTGTGTGTGCGGCCTGGGGCCACCTAGCTACCAGTACTCACAGAGATCTGGCCACCTGCTTGAGGTTATCAGCACATAGAGGGCTGAGAACAGCACATGTCTGAAAGAGTTCTAGGGATTCTTGGATATTTCCTTCCAGGCGAAATATCAGTGCTGCCAAGAAACAGAAAACAAATCAAATTAAATCATGTTCTAGGAAGGAGCCTGGTTCAGAAAAAATGGAGAAGAGGGGCCTCCCCGGTGGTGCAGCGGTTGAGCGCTGGGTTGCAAAGCTGCCCGCAGCCTCCGCAGCACCAGTTCAATCCCCGGCTGCTCCCCAGCCACTGGAGGAGGGTCCCACATGGCGCACAGACCTCTCCTGCCGCCCGCTGCTCCCCTCAGCAGTGTACTTCGGTCCTTCTGCCTACTCTACTCCCCGCTCTGGCTCTGGTGAATTCTCTCACCCTCCTGCGCTTCTGACTGTACCCAGTGCTTGTATAAATTAATAAAAATAAATCTTTTAAAAAAAAAAAAAAAAGACTGTACATGCTTAAGTATTATGAAGCACTGAAAGTGTGGAACATATGATATTGGGAATAAAGGAGCTTTGGGGAGGCCATTTTGTTCCAGATGTGTCAATATCTTAACAATTATGTGAGAAAATTATATATTAATATGAAGATCACAAACACATTTTGTGGTAAACAAAACCATTTATATCAAGGAGTCAAAAAGAAAGTACCTGGAAAAACTAAGGATGCTACTTTAGGCATTAAGGAGTGAAATTTCAGCCAGCTTTTTCCAATATTTGGTTTCTGATGAATTTTATTAATTCTCAGCTTTATCATGTATACTTCTAGCCTCCTTCCCCTCAGCCCAACTCAACCTTACCACAGTCTTCAAAGCTCCCCTCATCTCTTTTAGCCTGACAACAAGAAACACTTTCAGAAGTCTCTTATGGACCAGGGATTGCTGTATGAGGCAGGGACCCTAACATTCATTCTCAAAAACACTAGCCGGAAACTAGAAAAGGGGTAAAGGATAGTAGCAACATTTTTAACAGAACTTCATTTCTGAAGTCAAATCAAGCACAAGAGTTACACTCTGATTTCAAAACACAATAATAAGACATTTGAGAACATTACTTGAATTTAAGTATCTCTTAAGTTGTTTGTGCTTTTCTACAACCTAGGCAAAGCATGTTATGGCTTTAGCAAGAAGAGAAGAAATATGTCTTACCTTGGACATAGATAGCATATTCACACAACCCCTGAGTCTCCTGAAGCTGTTCTTTGATAACAGCCTGAAAGCAGAAGAAAAATACTTCTGAACGTAGCGCTTTAGGCCACCTGGCCACCCTGACACATGAATGTTACCCACAAAGCCTATTTTTGTTCAGTTTTCAAGCTAAGAGCAGTTTTTATGTTTTTAAAAGAATTATAAAAAATAACAGAAGATGAAGAATGAGACAGATATAAATACACACACACACACACACACACACATATATATGGCCTGGAAAGCCTAAAATATTTACCATTTGACCCCTTACAGAAAGTTTGCCAATTCCTATCTAAAATCTAAGGAAGCTAAGAAAAATGCGAAAGTTTTCCAGACACCATGAAGGGCTCTCTAATGAGCAAAATACAGGTTTTACCTTACTACTATGATTGGCTAATATAAGCTCAGGATGCCACAGGAACTCAAGGGCAAGCACCTGATTCTAACTTAAGAGAATAAAGAAAGATTTTTCAGAGTGAACAATTTTAAATCCTATGTTGGCCGTAATGGAAGAGCTGAGATGACCAAGAAAGTCAGAGAGACAAGGGCTTCAAATACCACGCTAAAAGGTTGTGAGCAATAGAAAATCTTGTTAAGTTTTATGTGGGAAGTAAACCTAATTATATTTATAAAAAAATCATTTTTGAAGCACTGTTAAAAATAGATGGAAAGAAAAGCATAATTAGAGCAAGAGTGGTGTAAGAACTCTTGTGGTCTTTTTTTTTTTAAAGATTTATTGGGTTGCAGAACTGGGGTACAGGTCAGAGGCGCGGGAGGGTAAGAGTATTCACCAGAGACAGAGTGGGGAACAGAACAGGCAGACTGATGAAATACACTGCTGAGGGGAGCAGCGGGCGAGACAGAAGAGGTCTGCTGCGCCATGTGGGTATCTCCCTGGCCAGCCGGGAATCAACCCCGCACTACAGAGGCTGCGGACAGCTTCACAGCGCAGCGCTCAACCCGATGAGCCACCGGGGAGGCTCTCTTGCAGTCATTTAAATAAAAATGATGGAGATTTTAAAAAATGATGGGGACTAGTTAAGGCATGGAGAGGAAAAAGATGATAATTTCATGAGACAAAGAGAAAATGTAATACTGACAGACAACTGTGTGAATAATGGCACCTACTCCTCAGGCAACAGAAGAGAGAGTTTTAGAAGACAGCAGATAAATTCAGCTACAGAAAAGTTGAATTTGAAATCCCTCTGAAGTGTCCAGTAGGTAACAGACTGATCTCGGGATCAGGAGGAAGTGTATAAAATGAACAGAGAAAGAGATCCACAGCCACGACTCTTAAAAAATAAGCAAGAAGAGAAGACAGAAAAAGGCAAGAGAGAAAGTGACCACTAAAGGATAAGGGAAACATGGAAAGGATAAGGAAGGAAGGAGGAGGGGAGGAAGAAGGGGCCTTTCAAGATTCACACCAGTACAGAACATTACTCGTTTTGTGCATTGCTGTAAGTATAAAGGCCATAGGTATAAATTAAAAACCAATCATGGAGGGCCTCCCCGGTGGCGCAGCGGTTGAGCTCTGGGTTGAGAAGCTGCCCGCGGCCTCTGTGGCGCCGGTTAGATCCCCGGCTGCTCCCCGGCCACCGGAGGAGGGTCCCACATGGCGCGCAGACCTCTCCTGCCTCCCGCTGCTCCCCTCAGCAGTGTACTTCAGTCCTTCTGCCTGCTCTGCTCCCCGCTCTGGCTCTGGTGAATTCTCTCACCCTCCCGCGCTTCTGACTGTACCCAGTGCATGTATAAACAAAACAAACAAACAAACCAGCAAACAAATAAATAAAGCATGCCTCTATAAAAAAAAAAAAAAAAAAAAAAACCAATCATGGAAACATTAAGAAGCTGAATGTCAAAAGAGGTAATACCAAGGATATGTTTTGCGTTTAATACTACTACCTGCCTACAAGAATATGGCATACATAGTATGTGACTAAAGATAGTTCAGACAAAAGGAAATACAAAGTATTTTAATACACAAATGATGGTTAAGTTCAGAATGAGAAATATAAAATAAAAAACACCGTGCCATGTTGAACATCTGCCTTCCACCACCAGGCCAACAAGTTCCAGAGAGGCTGTTCCTTCTTGAAATGAGAAAAATACAAGGAGCACACTCCACCCTGACCTGTAGCCAAACCCAGTCAAGCCACAACCAATCCGTAGGTCCATGAACAATAAATGTCACTGGGAGCCCCAGAAGTTTGGAGGTTGTCGGTAAAACAGCATTATCATAGCAAAAGCAAACAACACACTATGAAGAAACATGAATTCATACACAATCGTGTATGATAAAAAATGTGGGATATAAACTGCCACAGCCGGTGCTAGTTTCCTACCCAAAACATTTTAAGTATGATCGCTGTCTCTTACCTTGCATGCTTCGTAATCTTTCCGGATATAATGCAGATGTATCAACCAGTTCTGCTTCTCCAAAATAGGAAACTCTGGTGCTGGTATCATATTTTAACAAAAACAAGAGTCATTGCTGGACTTTCTCCATTGTGCTCAAGTCTTCAAATAGTGAAATACAATGTAAAACTATAGATTCTTCATGCTGAAGACCGTAAGAATATAATGCATCGAAAATGCAGAGTATAAAACTAAGAGATATTTGCCCTAACATATCAGTTAGGGCACCTAACTGATGCTTTTCTTCAGTTTTTGTGCATTATACTGTCAGTTTCTCAAATGATAATAACTTGGTCTGAAAGAAAAAAATCACTGTCTCTCCTCTCTTTCCTTGCTGACGATGAATAAGAATACTTTCTAAAAGATATTTCAGGAATGTTACTAACAAAATGCACACCACACAGTTAATGTTACGTCTGATAGATCACATTAACAAAAATATCTGAAATAGTTAAACATAGTTTTAAGAAATAACACAAATGTGGACATTAGTGTTACCCAGGAATGAGAAGAATGAAAAAAATCTATTTTCTATTTGACTCACTGAAAACGATGCATGGTAGAGAAATCATGAGTTACTTGCCAATTGAATTCAAAAGTTTAAAATACTAAGGTGAAAATCCATTAAAATGGCCTCCCTGATGGCGCAAGGGGTTAGGACGCATTCTGTGAAGCTGTCCGCAGCCACTGCAGCACAAGTTCGATCCCTGGCAGGCCAGGAAGCAATCCACATGGCGCAGCAGACCTCTCCTGACTCGCCCACTGCTCCCCTCAGCAGTGCATTTCAGTCAGTCTGCCTGTTCTGTTCCTTATTCTGTCTGTGGTGAATACTCTCACCCTCCCACGCCTCTGGCCTGTACCCCAGCTCTCATATGCATAAATAAATAAATCTTAAAAAAAAAAATCCATTAAGAAAGTATTTGTCTAGGGCCTCCCCGGTGGTGCAGCGGTTGAGCGCTGGGTTGCGAAGCTGACCGCAGTCTCTGCCGCGCTGGTTCGATCCCCGGCTGCTCCCCGGCCACCAGAGGAGGGTCCCACATGGCACGCAGACCTCTCCTGCCGCCCGCTGCTCCTCTCAGCAGTGTACTTCACTCCTTCTGCCTGTTCTGCTCCCTGCTCTGTCTCTGGTGAATTCTCTCACCCTCCCGCGCTTCTGACTGTACCCAGTGCTTGTATAAATAAATAAAAATAAATCTTTAAAAAAATTAATTAATTAGTTAAATTTAATTTAATTTAAAAAAAAAAGAAAGTATTTGTCTAGGGCCTCTCCAGTGGTGCAGCTAGTAGGGTGCCACGCTGTGAAGCTGTCCGCAGCCTCTGAAGTGCTGTTCGATTGCCAGCTGACCAGGGAGCTACCCACATGGCGCAGCAGACCTCTCCTGTCTCGCCCGCTGCTCCCCTCAGCAGTGTATTTCAGTCAGTCTGCCTGTTCTGCTTCCCGCTCTACCTATGGTGAATCCTCTCACCCTCTCGCACCTCTGGACTGTACCCCAGCTCTTGTATAAATAAATAAATAAATTTTAGGGCCTCCCCGGTGGCACAGCGGTTGAGCGCTGGGTTGCGAAGCTGCCCACAGCCTCTGCAGTGCCGGTTCGATCCCCGGCTGCTCCCTGGCCACTGGAGGAGGGTCCCATATGGCGCGCAGACCTCTCCTGCTGCCCGCTGCTCCCCTTAGCAGTGTACTTCGGTCCTTCTGCCTGCTCTGCTCCCTGTTCTGGCTCTGGTGAATTCTCTCACCCTCCCGTGCTTCTGACTGCACCCAGTGCTTGTATAAATAAATAAATAAATCTTTTTAAAAAAATAAATAGATCTTTTTTTTTTAAAGTATTTGTATATAGTAATAAGTAGAAGGTTTCAGAACAGCAAGGCCTCAAGGAAGGGAGAGGGGAGGAATGGGATCAGGAAAATATAAAAAGGAGACTTCAACTCCTCAATCCTTTCCAAAAAATCATTTTAAAAGCTCTATAGCATTCATGACTAAATGTTCTCATTTATTAAATCTGGATAGTGGGTATTTTGTACATATTACATGGGTATTTGTATTTTTTATGTACTTTTATATGAGATATTTTATTTGAGATATTCCCTGATTTTTAAAAATGTGAGAGGAGGGCTTCCCCGGTGGCGCAGCGGTTGAGCGCTGGGTTGTGAAGCTGCCCGCGGCCTCTGCCACACCGGTTCGATCCCCGGCTGCTCCCCGGCCACCAGAGGAAGGTCCCACATGGTGCGCAGACCTCTCCTGCCGCCCGCTGCTCCCCTCAGCAGTGTACTTTGGTCCTTCTGCCTGCTCTGCTCCCCGCTCTGGCTCTGGTGAATTCTCTCACCCTCCCACACTTCTGACTGTACCCAGTGCATGTATAAACAAACAAACAAACAAATAAATAAATAAAACATGCCTCTATTTAAAAAAAAAAAAAAAAGTGAGAGGATACAGCAGGGTATGAGAGAGAAATTATTCATAATGCATCTTTTGATGCTCCAGAACCTTAGGAGATACAATCAACAGAAATCTTAAGACTTATGTGTCCATAATATGAAAGAAAGGAAAAAGTTTTCCATGACTCAGAGTTAATGCTCCTAGAACACAAAAATTAAGATGTTGTCCATTTCTTCCCAAGAATAGGGAATATCAATGGAATATGTAAAATGAAATTATGACAGAAAAGATGGATAGGATTTTATATGGCAAAGGAAAGAAAATAAATTTTTAAGCAACTGACTTTCATCTTCCAGTTACCCATATTCTCTGAGTGGGTTCACTCTTAAGAGTCAACAAGGGACTATTTAAGATTCTTGGATAACTTTTATTTCCTTCCTTCTCTTCTCTCAAGCCCCATAAATTATCAGAATTAGCCATTCATGTTCTATCTAGCCACTTTCAGAATTTTCTACTAAAGATCATCCAAATCACTAAGTTTAAAGAAAAGGGGGGGGGGGGTGTCTCTAAAATGGGTAAAGAAATGCATCAAAATAAAAGTTCTATGACAAATGGCTTACTAATCTTGAACCAAGCCTCAATTGTATGCTAACCCCTGTGCCACATACCCTTTAAAGAAAGAGACACTGAACCATTTGAATTTACGATATCACTAAGTACCATTTCTTCTATAGCCACAGACCTAATTTATAAAATGCAAATTTGAATCTTATCTACTATTAAAATCTCACAAGGAACTATAGACAAGTCATTTTTGTGTTCCTTGGGTGGAAATGGAGGAAAACATGTTCAATGTATAAAGTGGTTCAAGGGTCCAGGGCCTCCCCGGTGGTGCAGGGTTAAGTCTCAGTGCTATCAAGCTATCACTGCAATGGGCTGAGTTTGATCCCCCGCCAGGAAGCTAACCCACATATGGAGCAGCAGACCTCTCCTGTCTCGCCTTTCACTGCTCCCCTTAGCAGTGTATTTCAGTAGACCACCCGTTCTGCTTCCCACTCTGTCTCTGTGAATCCTCACCACCCACCCCCTGCACCTCTGGCCTACACTCCACTTTATGCATAAATAAATTTTAAAAAATAATAAATTCTTTGTAAAAAGGGGTCCAGAGGCTCATGAAATGGGGATTTGAGGGCTAGAGAAACAAAAGGCACCACCAAATCCAAGTATCCTAAAGGTCATTCCACACTCCTGAAGACATAGTTTCAGTTGACTAAAAGTCAAAACAACTTAAGCCTCCTCAAAGATTTTAGAAATCATTTCAGTGCCCATAATTGCCCTACTACTAACTGTATGATCTGGGAAAATCATAGTTTTCTCATCTGTAAAATACAGACTCATTCATTCAACAAATACTCACTGAGTGTACCTACCAACTGATCACCTACTTTCACAGGAGTTATTTCTTTGGGTGATAGAAATGGTAGGTTAGAGGATTTTAGCAAAAGGAACAGATAATAATGAGTTATATATTTATGAGTGATTTTTTTTCCTAAAGGAAAAAATAAAGCAGAGGAGAAGGACAGGCCATATAGGTTGGGTGATAACAGATGGGTCAGGAACTAAAATACTCATCCTTATGTGCACTGAATGATATACTATATATAAAGAGGTTCAAATGGTGTCTGGTACATAGTAAGTACAAAGGAATGTAAACTGTTGTATTTTTATCATCATTATTATTTCAACAATGAGGGAATTCTGGATACCTTAGAAATCCCTAGAATCTACAAACCCTAATTTTATAGTTAAAATTTTACCTGCAAATATATAAGTTGTATTTCTTGCATTCCAAATCATTGCTCACTTCAATTTCCTCCACAAAGAGAGATACTGTTTCTTACATATTTTCACAACTACTATGAAAATTACCTATTTGAAAGATCCTCTCTCAAAGATGAGCATGTAAATGCAAAGTAAAGCAAAGCCTCCTCTATCTTGCAGTAAAGTGAGGTGGTTTCTCCAATGCTATGCTTTAGGAACCTGTGTTAGGAAATCAGGTAGCAAGAATGTTGAGAAGAAAAGGTACTGCCTTTCAGTAGGTTGTAAAAAAGACCTCCCTCCCACACTGCCCCTCCGTCCATCATCCACAGGACAAGGTAAAACCTCTCACCGGTGGGGAAAAGATTCCATTCATCACCCACTCCAGCCCTCCACATCACCAAGGCAGTGGGACAGAAGGCTAGCACCTGCCAGTACTACTCACTTGGCCCTCCTCTATGCTGCACTCCCTCCCCCCCACCAATTCTACTCTTTTGTGACATCTATTCCCTTTCTTTCTGCCTCTAAGAATGCACAAAACATCTACCTTAAACAATTCCATGACTCAGAAAACGATTCTGCAAGAATTTCTCTCCACTAGGAGCCAAATTCTCTTAGGAATGGCCCTAACTCAAACTGTTAAACTGATTAATACTAGGGAATGGAATTATGGAGGTTAAAGAGAAAATTACTGTGCTTTGGATTTTTAGTTGAATTTTTTTTCTCAAGTGATTAAAACTGTTGTTAAGGGCCTCCCTGGTGGCAAAGGGCTTAAAGTCTCAGTTATCAAGCTATCACCAGTCACTGCAGCATGAGTTTGATCCCTGGCCAGGGAGCTGACCCCAG